TTACTAATAGTGACAAACAGGGAGCGAACTGAACCAATTAACATGAAAACCAACCTAGAAAAAGACATGAGCAGAACAGATCAAGAACAAACTCTAAAGTGAACAAACAAAGACAAACCATAACACCTTTCTTTAGTTTCAACATATTCATCGTGGTGTGGAATAAAGCAGCATTTTCCCACCACGTGTGTTTCCCACCTATGTGTTGGGAAGAAAGGCACTTTAGTGAGGGCAGAATCATGTTTATTTCATGGCATTGAGCAGTTTGGGGACATTGCCACCAAGTGGTCAAAAATTATATTTACACTCACAAGATCTCACTCTAAAAATGTTCACACAAAGAGACAAAAGCCTGTTGTTAACCCCTTCAGACCCTGCGGCCATTGGAATGGACACCACATGGTTTTTGGTTAAAACCAATAAGATTTTATGTTTTTATGATACAGAGTACCGCCTGTTCCCTGATTAGTCCCCGATCAACCAATCACAATGAAAGTGTGACCCATAACTTAATCTGATTGAAATTCAGGAATCACGTAAGACATGCATGGCTAACCGACATGAGGTGGAGGAGCTCCTTTTTAACTTTCATATGCAGATTTATGTTCATGGTAGCATCATCAACTTGTGCCTATTATAATCTTAATAGTAATAATATTCAAAGTTAATTTGAGGATCTTTTATGGCTAGAACTCATGATTTTTCGCAATGGACATTATGTTTTAATTTAAAATTAATTATTAATATTATTAATATGATTTTATGTCTTCAATGTTGCAGCCAAACTGTCAGTTTTTCATTAGTTTTAGTGAAAAACAGCAACAGCGAATGTGAAATGAATGCATACACAGCAACACACACACACATACACACCGCACAAATACACACACACACCGCACAAATACACACACTGATGCCTTGATGCTATATGCACACAATCATATATTTATCAAAATCAGCAAGTACACACAAACACCCCAGACATATATTATACACACATATATTTGCCCATGTCTGACAAAACAATTCAAACAAGTTTTTTGAGACTTCATATATCATCTTAATTTTTTTCTACATTCTTATTGCATTGCTCATTATTACAGTAGCCTATGTGTTCTTTTTAAAAATACTTTTCAATACTGGTTCACATACTGTGTTTAAACTAGTTCATATTTATTTTATATATGAAGAAGTTTTTTGTTGCTTCACAGTCCTGGTGTCCATTGTAGTGGACATAATTTTTTATGAGTTTTCACAAATCTTGTTTTTTAGACTTTCATACATTGGAGAAGAGCAAATATCAGGTGGATAAAAATGGTAACACTTTAGTTTAGGGGCCACTCACTATTAACTAGCATGCTAGGATATTGGCTGTTTATTAGTACTTAGTTATAAAGCAGATATTAATGTCTTATTCTGCATGACCGTATTCTACATCCCTAATCCTATAGCCTACCTAAACTTAACAACTACGTTACTAACTAAGAAGTAATTAGGAGTTTATTGAGGCAAAGGTCGTGGTTATTAATAGTTTGTTAATAGTGAGAATTAAACCCTAATCTTAAGTCTGACTAAAACTCTTTCTTTTTTTTTTCTTTTTTTTGCTCAGTGGGAAAAATTCAGGTCCGACAAACACTGATAAAACAATAACTAATTCTGCTTTGCTAAGTTATTCTTTGTTTATGCTATTACTAAACAATAGAATAATTAGACAGAGGAACAAAATGTCTACACTGGAACTGCATATGAGTTTGTGAATGCATTTGCAGGTCAAATACCTGCTGTAATGTTACTCATGGAAAGAATGTTGAAAATGATCTTCATAGGTCTCAAGCAGGTCCTTGCATGCCTGATCGTTATTTGTATGTTGAGCTTTGCTGCATAACTCAAAATCCTTCATGAACACAGTATAACCCTGCACAAGTGTTTACCAAAGTTGTTTGATTCATGTGGACTTTATGATAACAGTTACAGAGTACCCATCAAATATATATATAATGTTATAATGTCTAATTATTACATAATGCTGAAAAATACAACTGATAATTACTATAATTACTAAAGATATTGCAATATATATTCTACTGTAATTCACAAAATGTCATAATGCTGTAAAACATTGTGTGGTAATAGTTCATGCAATGCTTTAAAACTTCTCATGCTTTTACATCATGTCCTATTCGAATATGTCTACATTTGTTTCTTAATTTAATGAGGTCAACACTCACAAAAAAAAAAAAACAGAACTGATCTGAATGTCTTTGTAAGAGTCTGCTGAAACACAACAAGAGCTACAAATTTGAAAATCTTGGGTCTGTAAGATTTTTTTTCAATGTTTTTATTTGGCAATGATGCACTAAATTGATCAAAAGTGATATTCATTTGAACATTCTAGTCATCAAGGAGCTCAGGAGAATCAGGAACAACCAACACAAAACAAGAACAGACAAAGAACTAAGGAAACGCAGAGCTTAAATAACCAGCAGAACTAACAAGATGATTAACAGAACAGGTGAACAAAAATAATAATTATACACTGGGAAACTGGGTCAAATGACAGGCATGGGGAAGACAGAACCTAAACACAATGAAAACATGACCATAACAACATAACTGTGACAGTTTCACTGTTTCCACAAAAATATTACGCAGCACAACTGTTTTAAATATTCATAAAATGCAACCTGCATTGCTATAATGTTATTATATTATAGTTACAATGACTTTTAGTAATTCAGATTTATTTCTGTCAAATAAGTGAATATATTGTTATTAATAGCCGTGTTGTGTTATACTTATTATGGGTGATAATACAGTTACTAACCTCTATAAATGCATCATTGATGGCTTGCATTTTCCAAAAGCAAAGTTGTTTATTTGTAAATGTAACGAATGAAAAATAATTCATGTAAAAAAAACAACAACCTTATATATGAAACTACTATAAGCAATAGCCTACCATGCATATGGCTGAGGAGATATAGATTTTAACACATCTAAAATGACCATTCATAACCTCTAATGCAAACATTAGCCAGGACATAATTGACAACTAATTGGTGCAGCAATTTATGTATAAACAAAATATGTATAAACACAGTTATACATTTTTAAATATTTTCAATCAGAAAACAGTTCGCTCGCAAAAGTTTTGTGTTCCCCTAAGAAACTTTGCATTCCCCCGAGAAACTTTGCGTCCGCTCGCAAAGAACATAAAAGTTTTGCGAGCGAACACAAAGTTTTTCGGGGGAGAAACGCAAAAGCATTGACAAATATTTTTTCCTCCCATCTCATATTTTTTTCCTTCACCATGTCCCTTTAGGGGCTCTGTACATTAGAGACTTCAAAAACATTGAAAATCTGACCAGTTCCAAAAATATGGACAGCAGTGTATCTGTATTTACACATGTTTGAAACTATATGTAACACTTTCATGCGGAGGATATGAATGTTGACATTGTCAATATTGTTCACAAAAGCCTTTTAGGTCCTTTGGGGAATTATACATATCTTAATAACCTGAAGCAACAAGGTTTGGTTAACATATTGATTTTTCAATGATCCAGCTTCATCTACCAGATCTCAGTCTACAAGTTATTCTTTCACACAAGTTTAGATCCATGACAGAACAAACCTTTTAGATAAAGGTCACAGAAGGACAGAGAGCAGGAGGAGGCAACGGAAGAGAGAAAAGGGCCAGTTTGCAACACATGCGGCCATAATGGACACTGCATGCTTTCTCCATTCCAAACAAGTGAACAATAGCTTTGTTTGATGCATCAGGAGAAAGCACAATAACTGCATTATTATCCTTGACTTGACCTTGGGTAAAAAGAAGAGTGAGAATGCATTTCAGTGGGAGACAAAATCACAGACTACAGGCCAGGAACTTCGTATTTTTGGCTCACATTACACATTTTCTTGCACTGACATCTTTATGAAAACCCAAAGGCTGAAAAAGAGAAGGAATTACGACGTTTTGAAATTCACTAGACGACCAAACAATGTCCATAGACAGACCCAGAATCCGTCTTGAACAAAATTCAAAACGAAACAAACAAAAAACAGAAAGAGGAGCAAAGAGAAGGTAAGGCACAGTGATAATGCTCTTTCTATGGAGGTTTTACTCCTTGAGGCTTTGTTTGTTTCTAGCTTTCTTGTGTTTACAAATGCAGGGGTTTTGCTTATAGTCATCTGAGAAATCAGTTTGAGAAATAATCATTACACTGGAAGCAGTGTGTTTATCTATCCAAATGATTCTTTGTCAGTTTAATGTCCTTGAATACATTAGTGTATATATTGAAATGAAGTTCAAATAATACAATATCTTTATTACATTGTCAGATGCATTGCACATTTTATTTACATAAGACAAGGTGCTTAGATACCCTTGCTGTTATTAGTGTGGCCATTCTCTCTGTGTTTTGAGGTAACCACAGTGTCCTGTTGTAGACTGATCCTTTTGTGGTTTTATTTTTGTTGGTAAGAGACAATGTCTTCACAACGGTCATACATTAGACAACAAAGTTGAATTCAACTTCTGGCTAATTTGTGCCAAACTATTTGCATTTTATATTTACATATCATTGTTACAATAAGGAAATGTAGAACATAACAGACTCATATGCACTTTACATATGCCATTTCCCCTTGGCCGCAGCGTAAAAATGTAAATGTAAAAAAGTTAAGACATTTCCTTAAAGATTAGATAGATAGATAGATAGATAGATAGATAGATAGATAGATAGATAGATAGATAGATAGATAGATAGATAGATAGATAGATAGATAGATAGATAGATAGATAGATAGATAGATAGAGACAAATAAGGGCATTGAACACCCACACGTGACGGCTCTATGTGCAAAACACAGCACTTTGTGAACGCTATAAGCAAGTATCATTACGTCACAGCCTGCCTGTATTTTTTCCTGCATTCTTTTGACAGGGGCGTGTCTAAGCAGGTCACAAATCTTTTATACCCCTGTGTCATTTCCTGAAAGTGCATATGTAGAGATTAGACAGCTCTGCATAAGGTGTGGTCTGTGGACTAAACTACACTTCAGGTGAACTATACAACTTCGCTTAACCAACCTATCCTTTTTCAGTTGTTCTGCTCACTGACAATGGCCAGAAGACACCTGATGTTGTGGATCTTCACTCTGTGTGTTTCACTCAATCCCTCAGGTAAGATACTGGATACTCCAGTGCCTCTGCTCCACAATGACTGATTAACTTATTTATGCACTTCAGCAGTAATAGTACGCTGCACTGTCACAGTCTAAGAGTGCATGCAAAGAAAGGGAATGTTGTGTTTTGGGAATCATGTTTGTTACAATTTCTTTTTTAAAGTACAGTGTCAGATTGTAAAATTACAGAACTGACATTGCAGAAGTATGTGAGCATTTTATCTTATTCATACAGACCCTAGAATTCATTGAAACTAGAAAGATAAGATGAGATTGAGATAAATAAATGTAAATTATACTCAAAATTGTATTACAATGTTAATGTTGAAAGATATTGTTATATATAATTTTCAACAATATTGCATATTTTAAGATAACGTTTCCAAAGAAATGTGAAATAATTGGTAACACCAATTGATCCAATACCAAAATAGCAAATAGTATTAATACTAAAAAGATGTGTTCACAAACAGATCCACAACAAAATCCATATATTAATACATGTAGTTACTTAATATTATTCAGTATGTAACTACAATATAAAGTGTGACCAATTAATTTTGTTTGATTTAATCTCCCTATCACTTTGGGTCAATAGCAGTGTGTATATTCGATTATTAGATTATATATAAGGCTGCATCAGTTTAACACCTCAGGCTCAATAACAAAAACACACCTTTTTGATTAATGCGATCTCTTTCAGAATGAGACAGATGTGTTTAAGTTTACACTTGTGTTTTCACTAAAATATTTGGATCAGTTGGAACAGTTCTGCCATCTAAATCCTACTGCGTACATATACAGCCTACTGCATATTCCAATAAATCATAATTACTGTCTATTTGTCCTTTATGACTAATCTGTGACTATTCAGTGTCTATAATTCCCTCTCTTTGTCAATCTGCTATAGATGGTCACATTCCTGAACTTGATGGAAAAAAGGTTTATGAGATTGTTCGACCAATCAAATTACATGAGCTACAAAAAAGAGATTTAAAGGTGGTTTCTCATCTACCCACTACTAAATATCATATATTTTAATATTTTAATCAAACTAAATCATTTATTTTCCTGCAGTCAAGACCTGATACAGTGAAATACGCTATGACACTAGGTGGGAAAGACATTGAAATGCATCTCCAGAAAAATGAGTAAGTCTGTTTCCTCAGCATATTTTGCATGTCTTGTGATTTCTAAAATCTGCACGTTGAAACAAAAAAAAAAGTTCCTCATTGTCACAGACAAAAATGCGTGTCATATTACAACTACATTTCACACATTACACATTGTGATTTGTCAGTTAGTGAGCTTTTTATGACTGATCTGATATATGTCTGTTGGTCAACAGTGGCATGCTGACTAAAGACTACAGCGAGACACACTACACTAAAGACGGGATGCTTGTTACAACCACACCTGAGGATCTGGTATGTTATTCCCACAGGCCTATCCAGTAATAGAACATAGCCTATGACATTTAACACACTGCAAAATTAATCTGCAATAAATTTATTAAATTAGTACTCTGAATCAACAGTGTGAGAGATCCCTTTTTCATCCACAGGACTTATGCTATTATCATGGGAAAATAGTAAATGACAGCGAGTCGTTGGTTAGCATGAGCATCTGCAATGGACTAAGGTAGGGAAACACAATTTCAAATGATTTTTCTTTTCAATTTATATCATTAGTCACCATGAAAATCAAATTAGGCAGTTCTTTTTCAGAACTGAAAAAGTTGTATTTTTAATTCAGTTGTATTTTATGGAACATTTTAGGATTTATTATAAATTATCTGTGCCTCCTAATCTTTAATCAAAACAATTTCCTCCTCCCTCGACATCTCTTCTTTGATACCATGTTTTTCGGCATGAGGGCGGTAACCTGTCACTCACATGAGATTAGAGCTATAGCAAATGACATCAGTCCAACGATTCAATTTCAGATGGACAAAATCAAGTTCCATTCTACATTTTTCTTACCGTTTCAGTCGGAGAAAAAAGCTATCGCACCTTCTGTTTCATGACGACTTTAAAGGTTCTCTAAGCCGATCCTGGGTGACGTCACTTCTTGTTAGGTCAGATCAGCGCACCACTCAATAATCGGGACAAGAGAGGTCCCGATCGGGACAAAAAAATTAGGCCCAAAAAATCGGGACGTCCCGGCTAATTCGGGATAGTTGGCAACCCTACTTCTTGTTGACGGTCGAACTATTGTCAAACAAAACGGAGGCTAGCTAGACCCTCCCTCCACCTCATCCGCACACTAACCCCCCAAACCCTTCTTGTCGGTCATTGGCTGGAACAGTTTGTTATGTTTCGTGGTGCGGGTAAGCCCAGTTTGTTTTTGTTGCCGTTTGTGGAGCCTGGGGTGTCTGCAGAGACCGCGTTTTTTTTTTTTTTACAGTGTGTTCAGGGGCCAGGCAGCTAGCGGATAGTGAGGAGATGTTTGCTGTATGTGACAAAAAAAGTTTGGGCCTAAAAAACGCATGACATCGCTTAGAGCAAGTTGCTTTAAAAAATAATAACAATAATTTTTATTTATAGTGCCATTCAGAACCTCAAGGTCACTTTACAAGTAGCTTTACGCCTTACAAGCTTTACAAAGAAGACAGAAATCTTCAAAAAGTTTGTTTAAAACATTTAAAGCCTCTAAAAAAGCTATTTAAGTCAGAAATATATATATATATTTTCAATCACTACTACTGGTTTTACACTTATATTGCAACAGATATACAGCAGTTTGTTGTCTCAAAATTTTTTTTTTTTTTTTTTTTACCTTTCTGCAGTTAAAGGAAGTTACAGTGTAACTTGCGTTTCCTGGATGAATGAAACACATAAATTACATATGGTTTCTCAAGCACTCTTGATTAAGTCTCCTCTTGGGCCAATTGGTCTCTCTATACCAAGACCCTCAAATCACATTGTGCCCATTGTGTGAATTATCTTCACAGAGGCTATTTCCAAACAGCGGAGCAGAGGTTTCTGATCGAGCCGTTGTCCGAGGATGGTGATGGTGACCATGCTGTCTCTAAATATGAAGATGCACTTGAAGACACGCCGAGGGTGTGTGGAGTCACCAACACTAGTTGGGATGAGAGTCAGGATGGCGCTCCTCCACGCATTCTGAAAACCCGTTCTCGTTCCTCAGTAAGACTGTCTATTCGGCATTACAAAAAGCAAGCAGCAAAGCACAATAAGGTTAAAGTTTCACAAGGATTAATCATATTCTAGCTGGGTTGTCATGTGATACAGTCTCGATTGTTGTTCTGCAAAACTGAGGTGATATTCACAATGAATTGCAGAAGTTGAAAGTGCAAGAAATGTCCTAAATTACCCTAATTCATATGTACTGAAGTAAGGTATTGTAAGGCACTGATTTCTCTGAACTAATTATTCTGTTTTCTGTTCTCTATTTCCACCTATTTCTTTTCTCTTGATCAGGGGCCAACTTTGTTCCAGCAACAAAAATACATCGAGCTCTTCCTTGTGGCAGACAACAGAGCAGTAAGAGCGAGAATCAATGCACCTAGTGTTTCAATGATTAATAAATAAATAAAAATAAAAAATAAAAACTCACAAGGTTAGAGGAACATAATGTGGGATTTTGTGTTTGTTCAGCATTGTCGTCCTCATGGAATCAAACTGTTTCTAAATTTGTCACAGTAAATTTAAAAACACTGATGCTAACAGATTTCAGAGAGAGTTTCCTAATACCAGAGTGACGTAATGCTTCATAATTCAATTTATTTCCCCCCTCAGTACAAGAAAATGGACAGCGATCTTGGGAAGCTGAGAAAGAGGATATTCGAGATCATCAATTTCATCAATAATGTGAGTCACTTATGACGTACAGTACATGCTATTCAAAAAGCACAGCATGGCAATATTTATGACACGTAGATAATAAGGGTTCTTGAGTGTGATAATTGATAGGATTACATGACTAGATACAGATCTTCGCGATGTACATATTTTCTTATGAGTACCGGTTTAGTTAAAAAACATTTATGTCCAAATAAGTTTTTGTTGCACTAGTACAAAACGTATATACAATGGAATCCAAAAATCAGAAAATTAAAACTTGATTTAAAAAGTGATTTAAAACAAAAGAACATTATGGCATAAAATGAGTAATAAATAGTGCAGAATCGTAATATTTCTAGGTTCTAGACTTTGCGTTTTTGCGATATAGTCTGTGGCTTCCTTGCTTCCATTGAATCACACAAGATGACAATCATGCTGGATAACATGGACTATCAGGTTTTCCACAAGCTCACGAGTCAATTTCATCCAAAAGGGGGACATACAAAATACAAATGTAACAACGAATAACAAAATACCTGTGATGAAATGCTTATGTTCCTGTATTGTAAGTCAATTTAACCCTCATGTGGTGTTCAAAACCCTATAACACCTGTGGTGTTCCCGGTCAAAAATGACCGGGCCATAAAAAAAACCTTATAAATCACTCATTATACCATATTTTCACCCAATCTTGGATTCAATCTTTTTGTCAACATGTTCTCTTTCAATTAGGACTGGTTTTATATTTTGATTTGCATCTGAATAATCATAGGCCTCATTTATTTGAGAGTAGGCATTTCATTTTTTGAGTAATTTTTTAAAAATTTTTGAATAATTTTGGAAATATTAAATAAAATCTGAAGAAAATTGGTATTGTTGATCACACTAGTCAACTTAACATTTTCACCAGGAATTTTGTTTTGAAACTTTTGTTTTGTAAAAAATATGGCACATAGTCACACTTGTGGTGTTCCCGGTCAAAAATGACCGGCCTATAAAAAATAGCTTATAAGTCACTCATTATACCATATTTTCACCCAATCTTGGATTCAATCTTTTTGTCAACTTGTTCTCTTTCAATTAGGACTGGTTTTATATTTCTGTTTGCATCTGATTAATCGTGGGCCTCATTTGTCTGAGAGTAGGCATCTCATTTTTTGAGTAAAAAACAAATAATTTATGAGTAAATTTGGAAATATGAAAAAAAAAAATGAAAAAAATGGCTACTGTTGATCACACTTGTCTACTCTAATGTTTCACCAGGAATTTTGTTTTGAAACTTTTGTTTTGTAAAAAATATGGCACATAGTCACACTTGTGGTGTTCCCGGTCAAAAATGACCGGCCTATATAAAATAGCTTATAAGTCACTCATTATACCATATTTTCACCCAATCTTGGATTCAATCTTTTTGGCAACTTGTTCTCTTTCAATTAGGACTGGTTTTATATTTCTGTTTGCATCTGAATAATCGTGGGCCTCATTCATCTGAGAGTAGGCATGGTCAAAAATGGTCACAATGGCCGACCATTGAAAGTGAATGGGAGAGACTGAAAATAACAGAACAATTTAGTTTTCAGGAGCATGTTCATTATTTTCATGTACACATATGAGCATGTGTGCTTGCAAACATCGAGCCCTTGGACCTGTGCATGTATCGATACATTTATACACACGCTACCCAGACATACACATGTTAAAACACACAAACTTTTTAAAATATTACACACATTCTTTTCCACAGAGAGAAATTTGATCCTACCCTAACCTGCATCTAATATACATTTATCCATCTGACATTACCACACACACACACACACACACACACACACACACACACACACACACAGGCCGTGATCAGATTTTTGACTCAGAAACTAGTGAGGAGGAGGAAATTCAGGATGCATCTTGCAGTGAAGATGTTTCTGAAGAGGAAGGCACCACTGAATCGGCTACGGAGCTTGAAACAACTGATGAGGAGCAGTCTTCCAGTGATGAGGGCCCAGCTGAGGTTACCGTTTCATTCTGGTCAAAAGATGGAACTTTGTCCTGGCCTTCATCCCCACCTATGAGGCAAGGCAGGTTTTCTTCTGAAGGCCTTCCTCTTCAGAAACATCTTCACTGCAAGATGCATCCTGCATGTCCTCCTCCTCACTAGTTTCTGAGTCAAAAATCTGATGAATAACATCATGTGCAGAGCTGTTTTGCCATTGTGCTGCCACAAATGAATGACAAGCAAAATGCTGTGAGGCATTTTATATATGCCTGTGCTATCACATGATGTATATTTGTAAATATTGTCTAGTTCTGTGTGAGAACCTCACAGTTCCAAAACAAAATGTCATAATATTTTGTCTGGAAGCTGTGATGAAACAAGACCATGAAAGAAAGATTCTTTTGAAGCCGGGTCACTGCAGTCACGGCCAGTTTGTGTGTGTGTGTGTGTGTGTGTGTGTGTGTGTGTGTGTGTGTGTGTGTGTGTGTGTGTGTGTGTGTGTGGTAATGTCAGATGGATAAATGTATATTAGATGCAGGTTAGGGTAGGATCAAATTTCTCTCTGTGGAAAAGAATGTGTGTAATACTCAAAAAAGTTTGTGTGTTTTAACGTGTGTGTGTCTGGGTAGCGTGTGTATAAATGTATCGATACATGCACAGGTCCAAGGGCTCAATGTTTGCAAGCACACATGCTCATATGTGTACATGAAAATAATGAAAATGCTCCTGAAAACTAAATTGTTCTGTTATTTTCAGTCTCTCCCATTCACTTTCAATGGTCGGCCATTGTGACCATTTTTGACCATGCCTACTCTCAGATAAATGAGGCCCACGATTATTCAGATGCAAACAGAAATATAAAACCAGTCCTAATTGAAAGAGAACAAGTTGACAAAAAGATTGAATCCAAGATTGGGTGAAAATATGGTATTATGAGTGATTTATAAGCTATTTTTTATAGGCCGGTCATTTTTGACCGGGAACACCACAAGTGTGACTATGTGCCATATTTTTTACAAAGCAAAAGTTTTAAAACAAAATTCCTGGTGAAACATTAGAGTAGACTAGTGTGATTAACAGTAGCCATTTTTTTCATATTTTTTTTTCATATTTCCAAATTTACTCATAAATTATTTGTTTTTTACTCAAAAAATTAGATGCCCACTCTCAGATAAATGAGGCCCACGATTAATCAGATGCAAACATAAATATAAAACCAGTCCTAATTGAAAGATAACAAGTTGACAAAAAGATTGAATCCAAGATTGGGTGAAAATATGGTATAATGAATGATTTATAAGCTATTTTTTATAGGCCGGTCATTTTTGACCGGGAACACCACAAGTGTGACTATGTGCCATATTTTTTACAAAACAAAAGTTTCAAAACAAAATTCCTGGTGAAACATTAGAGTAGACTAGTGTGATCAACCGTAGCCATTTTTTCCATATTTTTTTTTCATATTTCCAAATTTACTCATAAATTATTTGTTTTTCACTCAAAAAATGAGATGCCTACTCTCAGACAAATGAGGCCCACGATTAATCAGATTCAAACAGAAATATAAAACCAGTCCTAATTGAAAGAGAACAAGTTGACAAAAAGATTGAATCCAAGATTGGGTGAAAATATGGTATAATGAGTGACTTATAAGCTATTTTTTATAGGCCGGTCATTTTTGACCGGGAACACCACAAGTGTAACAAGGTAACAATACTCCCACAAAAAAATAAGAAAATTTTCAAAAAAACACTGAGATTTAGTTATACCGTTTGGGAACAAAGTCACTAAGTTTCAGTCCAAAGCGACAACATTAACTAGTATTTTCGGGAAAAAGAAAATCTTCTCCGGGTCAAATTGACCCGAACACCACATGAGGGTTAAATAAAAGTGTCTACTAAATGTATAGATGTACATGCAGTACATGTACTAATTCTGTATTTGAAGAAATTCAAACATTTATGTTAATTTGTAATTTAAAAAGGTTTTAAATCAGAAAGAAATTCACTAGTATTCTCTGAATTTTGAACCCCTAATATACAATAACATATAATTATCTTTCTGTCACTCTTTTCTGGGTGTGCAGGCCTATAAAGAAATCCACACCTTTGTTGCTCTGACTGGATTTGAAGTGTGGACAGACAGCGATAAGATAACAGTGTCCTCTGCTCCTGGAGCAACTCTAGACAGCTTTTCCAGTTGGAGGAACAGTGATCTCGTCAAAAGAAAGAAGCACGACAATGCACAATTCCTCAGGTCAGCTCCAATACATGTGTGAAAATACAAATATTCAGCTCGGAACTTCTCCAATACTTTCTCTGCTCCAATCTGTGTCATTGTGTTCTCTTTTACATGGTTTAGCCTGAACCAGGAAGAAGACAGATTATTCACTTTATTAACTGACTGAATGTAATCCAGCAGGATTGGTTCAAAGTTTGAACATTGTGTTTTGTCCTTCTTCCAGTGCAATTGACTTTGATGGATCAACTGTGGGTCTAGCTTACATTGGAACCCTGTGTGGAGGTCTTTCAACAGGGATTGTGCAGGTATTAATATTCTCTTAAAAAGTCACAAACATATTTGACAAAAATATGTATTTAAAATAATATTAATCAAAATAAATAAACAAGTTTGTCAGGATCACTATAAAGGAAAGGGAAATTCACTAACTGTGCACTGAAGTCTGTGTAGGAACCTTTTTGTGAAGAAATTATGATATATATATATACACACACACACACACAAAGTTATGTCATGAAGCTCTAGATGGCACAGGCTGAATCTGCTATGGGTAATTCGTATATGCTATATTGTACAGCAGCAGCATGTCTGTAATGCTCACAGCAGCGTGCCGTGTATGTATTGGCAGTAGCAAGTCCTGTAGCAGATCTACCATATCAACATTGTCATATCCATATGTGTGTGTGTGTGTGTGTGTGTGTGTGTGTGTGTGTGTGTGTGTGTGTGTGTGTGTGTGTGTGTGTGTGTGTGTGTGTGTGTGTGTGTGTGTGTGTGTGTGTGTGTGTGTGTGTGTGTGTGTGTGTGTGTGTGTGTGTGTGATATAGTCATGTGAAAAAAAGGACACCCTATTTAATTCTATGGTTTTATGTATCAGTCAGGACATCATAACAAAATCATCTGGTCCTTGGCAGGTCTTAAAATTAGGTACATACAACCTCAGATGAACAACAACACATGGCATTACCCTGTCATTATTTGTTTAACAAAAATGGAAAAGGTGACAAACTAGCACCCTTACTGCATCCATAGGTATTAAGTGGCTAAGTAACAAACAGCGCTGCTAATCAAATGTCGGATTAATTGATCATCAGCAAGTGTGATTACCTGTATAAAAGCAGAAGTTTTGGCAGTTTGCTGGCATTCAGGTGTGTGTTAACACAATGCCAAGGAGGAAAGACATTAGCAATGATCTTAGAGAAGCAACTGTTGCTGCCATCAATCTGAGAAGGATTATACAACCATTTCCAAACAATTTGAAGTCCATTATTCTACAGTAAGGAAGATTATTCACAAGTGGAAAACAGTCAAGACAGTTGCCAATCTTTCCAGGAATGTACGTCCCAGCAAATTCTCTCCAAGGTCAGACCGTGCAGTGCTCAGAGAAATCAAGCATTGCGTTAGTTCAGGCAGGCCACATCAGCCAAGCTCGCATCAGCTGATAGCCAGCTGTTCCTGACGTGTTCCAATCCAGTGTCGACATCTATCACAGCGGCACATATAAACTCCCATTCCTTCAGCATTTCCTCCATAGCATCGCTGCTCGCATTTAAACTGCCTCCTCCAACCTCAACTTCACCCAACCGAACCTTAATTCATTCTGACTACCGGTATTTAGTTTTTCCCGTACAGTTCAATTCATTGCAAGCTTTTTCTATCATGTATTTGTATTTTCACAACTCATGTAAGTGAGAACTGTAATTATGCATATACTGGTTCTGTTCTGTACCCCAGGGGGGTTTGACTTGCTGCTCTCCCCGCACTGTCCAGGCATAGCTGCATGGACAGGCATGGGAGTTTTGCCCAGAACAGAACCATACCGCCAAAACTAACTGTATGCTATGCTATAATTGTAATAAATTGATATACTTGGAGAAGTGGTCCTGACTAAAATCGCAAAACATCCAAGAACTACACATCTCTACTTGGTCTCAGTTAACATGTTAAATGTTAAAGTTCATGACAGTAGTTAGAAAAAGATGGGACAAATATGGCGTGTTTGGAAGGGTTGCCAGGAGAAAGCCTCTTCTCTCAATGGCGACACGGCTTAGATTTGATTAAAAGCCATAGTTGTAAAACTATGTAAAAGCCGTGCAATTGATTCCTAGGGTGTACTTAGTTTGTTATATGTCATTTGTTGTTGTTCATCTGAGGTTGTATTTACCTAACTTTTCGGTTGTATTTACTTTACCTAATTTTAAGACCTGCCAACGACGAGATGATTTTGTATCATGTTCTGATACGTAAAACCATAAAATTCTAAAAGGTGTCCTTTCTTTTTCACATGACTGTATATAAAAGCCATTGTATGGAGATTGTTCAGGGAGTGTTAATTCAGTCATCAAATTCATTAACATTCAAATGAGTTTAAGATATAGTTTAAATACATGAGTGTTTTCTTAAATCAGAGTCCTGTTTTAGTTTTTTTCTTTCAAAATCCTTCAAGAGAAGAGAGAATGGTGATTTCACAATAATGAAGGAAGTGTTTTGGGCATTTTGCCCATCATCTCATCTGCGGTGTATCGCTTATTGTTGCAATGTCTTATTCTTGACTTCCTCACAAATTATTCCTACTTGATTATAATATAGACTAAATAAAGATTTGAAAGAAAAATCCATGTTTTCATCAATGTTAAGCCTCGAGTTTGAGTGCTAACTGATCTTTCCTCTTCAAAGGATCACAACTCTAATTCTATAGCAGTGGGGGCTACTATGGCCCATGAGATGGGGCACAATCTTGGGATGAATCATGACAGCAGCAGCTGTGTTTGTTCTGATAGCACTTGCATCATGACAGCTGCTCTCAGGTAACTCCTATATATGCCAATCACAAAAGTGTGAACTCTATTCGGTTTTTTATTTTTATTTTTTTTACAACAAATCTGGGTTACACCTTATTTTAAAGTGTCCGCGTTAGTATAATTATACATTTAAGTAGAGTAATACTACTATAGGGTTTGCTTTAGGGTTAATTGCACGTAATTATGTATCATTTGTAGTTATTACTACATGTAACGTGTAACAAGGACACTAAAATAAAGTGTTATATATAAGTGCTGCCTCTATTTCCATACACCTAAGCATGCTTAATTCAAATATAGAGCTTAAATAATGCATATTCAACTAAAAAAACAATGATTTCCACAAGTATTCACAGGTTATTTGTACTAATATATCACCCTAACAGACTTTTATATTCCACACTGCTGTTAATATTAATAAATCTTAAGATTTTTTATGTATAACTTCATCTCTGTGTTACGGAGAGCCTAAAACCAAATTTCAGAACAAATATCACCCCTCCATGTCTCCGCAGCTATTTCATCCCTCAACACTTTAGCAGCTGCAGTACTGGCACCTATGCAGATTACCTGAGCAGCAAAAACCCAGAATGTCTTTTAAATATGCCCGAATCAAAAGATTTGATTCAGCCGGCTGTGTGTGGAAACGGATTTATGGAGACAGGAGAGGAATGTGACTGTGGAACGGTGCAAGTAAGCAGACTACGGGTTTCCTATATCTGAATTCAATGATTTGAAATCTTTTTGCAACAAATTACTCTAAATTAATATACCAAATAAATGTATTTGTTGAAAATGCTTTTTTTAATGTTGTTAGAATTAAAACCCAACTGTCATTTTTCCTAGATATTAATTGATTCCTAAAGAATATAAATGATTTGAGCAGATATATTTCAAAACGCCCTTTAGAATGACAAGGAATGTATAAAGACACAAAATATTATTCCTCACATAAGCTAATTTGACTTGAAGTACTCAACAAATCAAAGCCAGATACTGTCAGGAAGAAAGATACTGTCAAGACATGCACAGACGATCCTCAAAAATGTTATTTATCATACATTTGACAACAAGTTGCTGAAGTAGCATTGTGTTTGGTGTGCTTATGGGACAATCTCTCATGTGCAATATCTTAATTCTATAAGTGCACTCTCTGCAGATGGAATACATGCATTACTGCATATTTGTTTATACATGCACATTAGTCATCTATTATTTGGACAGAATTTGAGTAGGATGTACTGAATACTTTCACTGGATCCTAATGTTCATTCATCCATTCATTCATTCATTGTCTACTTTGACAAGTAAATTACTTTCCTAGAGCTTTTCTAAATTCTCAGAACTAGAACTTAAAAAGGCCATTTATTATGTGCTTACTACTTAAACACACCCACTAGCTAAGATATCTCATTGTAAGACATTCTCAGTGTCATTATTTCACAACCAAGATTAACACTAAATGTTTTTGCATAGGAGTGTACAAACCCATGCTGCAATGCAACCACCTGCAAACTGACAGAGGGCTCACAATGTGCAACAGGAGAATGTTGTGAAAAATGCAAGGTAAGATTAAAAGAGTTGGGGGCATTTGATGTATCATTAATCAAATCATGAAGGTACCAAATCAACTGCGGGTCTGCGGCAGTTATAGTTTTCCATATTTGTCCCAAATTTGGTTAATGTAAATTACTTCAGCCTAGGCTGGAAGATTGTGTATAGACTATTCAATAATACATGTTTCTTTCTGTGGATGGAATAAAGTCTATGCTTCATATATAGAGATAAAATAATACAGAATATTCTTTATTCCTTAGTTTGGGGTAATCAGTCTTACTTTTTGGTATCAAATTAGACCAATCTACGTTTTTAGGTAACTGACTTGTAAACAGTCTTAAAAAAAATTGATGACTGACTTGTAAGATGTCAACGACAGCCCAGCTGATCTTATTTATACATTATCTAATTTATATTCATATTGATTAGAAAGTTAAGTTTATAATCAAATCTCATCTGATTTTTGACTGGTACTGCACAATTCCAAGTGAATCTATCTAGTTAGGCAAATTTGAACTCCTGTGAGACAGAAAAAACAGATCACCAGCAGCCCTGCAGATTTAGACAGGATTAAAATTGCAAAGTACGTCTGTGAAACACGAATTTCTCAAACAACCCCCTGGAAAACTAGTCCCGTACGAATAGGGCTACACAGCTGTGCTAGACACAGTGCAGTGTCAAAGATCACAGTATAGAAATGTTTAGCTAATGAGGGGTAATGCTAAGCAACCCTTTTGGACAACACTATCTGCCACATTATAGAATTTGGCCATCCCATGTATAAAACTTTCCGCCAACGATTTCAGGGTTACTACACTGAACAAAATTATAAGCGCAACACTTTTGTTTTTGGCCCCATTTTTCATGAGCTGAACTCAAAGATCTAATACTTTTTCTATGTCCACAAAGGGCATATTTCTTTCAAATATCGTTCACAAATCTGTCTAAATCTGTGTTAGTGAGCACTTCTCCTTAGCCGAGATAATCCATCCACCTCACAGGTGTGGCATATCAAGATGCTGATTAGACAGCATGATTATTGCACAGGTGTGCCTTAGGCTGGCCACAATTAAAGGCCACTCTAAAATGTGCAGTTTTATCACACAGCACAATGCCACAGATGTCGCAAGTTGTGAGGGAGCATGCAATTGGCATGGTGACTGCAGGAATGTCTAGCAGAGCTGTTGCCCGTGAATTGAATGTTCATTTCTCTACCATAAGCCGTCTCCAAAGGCGTTTCGGTTTCAGAGAATTTGGCAGTACATCCAACCGCAGTGATGAGAGTGAGGATGAGTTAGCCAAATGATAGGGATTAAATGATAGGGATCTACTTATTTTTGGTTTGCATGAGTTCCAAGTATAAATCTATCTGTGCTATTAAATAGAAAAGAAAATCATAATTTTAAAGAAAAAGTACTTTTCTGATAATTTTCCATTGTGGTACAGTGTTGTCAACGTTTCCCTAAGTACCCCCCCAAAAATATTTTTTTCAAAAATATTTTTTGATTTGTATGATTGAAGCTATTTCATAACTTATTTGAACAAATATTTCATGGTTAGAACAAAGCATACCATAGTAGGTTAAATTACATTAAACTGACTTAAAAAATGAGTTCAATCTTGTATAACTTGTACAAAATGTTGAAAAGTGCTTAACTTATTTTGATGTGTTAAAGCAATGTAAAAACAAATGTAGTCATAACTTATTGATCATATCATTTTTACAGTGAAACCTGTGTGAATTTGAATTTTTTCTTCTGCTGAACACAAAAGAAGATATTTTGAAGAATGCTGATAACCACACAGTTGATGGACCCCATTGACTTCCATATGGAAGAAAGATACTATGGAAGTCAATGGGGCCCATCAACTGTTTAGTTAACGACATTCTTCAAAATATCTTTTTCTGTGTTCAGCAGAAGAAAGAAATTCATATAGGTTTGGAACAACTTGAGGATGAGTGAATGATGACAGAATGTTCATTTTTGGGGAAACTATCCCTTTGCTTGCTCCTTTCCCAATATGGACTGCAAGTGAGTCTATCGCGGTCAGCAAAAAAGTTTCTCAGTATTGTATTCTGGGTGTTGTATTCCACTATTGTCATCTTTTGAGGGGTGTTCCTTCTCATGAATAATGATGAGACTCAAATGACGCTTCTGTTCTCTGTTGTTCTCTCTTCTCTCTGTTTTCATACCAATTACATTTCACACTTGGGGTTTTTAAACCGAAAAAAAAAAGAAATGGTTTAAATATTTCCCTTAATATTATAATAAAGCCATATGCACATGTATACCCTGCATACCCAAACGCGACACTTTACTTATACTTACTGCTCTGAAAGTATAATCTATGCATTTTTTTTATTCCTCCCCATCAGATTATGTCAGCCTCACATGTGTGTCGTCCAAATAATCATGACTGTGATTTGCCTGAGTCCTGCACTGGAAAATCAGCCATGTGTCCTGAAGATGTCTTTACAGTCAATGGACTCCCTTGCAAAAATGGGAAAGGTTATTGCTACAATGGCCAGTGTCCTCAGAGAGAGGAGCAGTGTATTAAAATGTGGGGTCCAAGTAAGTACAGGAATATATTGATGCAACACAATAATACTGAAAAATAATCAGTGCTGAACCCCACACGACTGTTCTAACTTTTCTTTTATTACAAAAATAAATAAATAAAGCTGCTGAGGTGGCTGGAGACAATTGCTACAACCAAAACGCAAAAGCAGAGTACTACGCTTACTGCAAACGTTATGGCAATAGATATGTCGGATGCCAAAAACAGTAAGATTTTACATCCATCTGTATATCTAGTAATAATCCTTTCACATATCATACTGTTCAATAACTATTTTGCCCCATCTGATCAACCACCAATTTTATTTATCTATCTACAGAGATGTGATGTGTGGAAAACTGTTCTGTGTAAATGGCAACGGAAGTCCTAATTATGGACGGCTGGTAACATTCCTCAACTGTAAAGCCACATTCTACAGCAATCCTGAAGAGGATTACGGCCAAGTCGACACTGGCACCAAATGTGGGGAAGGGTTGGTAAGGCTGATCTCCATATGCATGCCAGTTATACTACAAACACACACATTACTTTGTAGTTCAATAGCAATACATTTCTTCAAAGACCTAATATATATTATATATGCCACAAATTATTTTAAGCATCAGGAAGCATATTATTTATTTCTAGCCTTTCTTTATTCATTTATTTTGTTTACTCAGGTTTGTAACCAGAACGAGTGTGTTGACCTAGAGACGGCTTACAAAGCAACAAACTGCTCAGCCAAATGCAAAGGCCATGCGGTAGGTGAAATATTCCTTTCTCGAACATTAACTTCTCGTTTTCCTCATAAAATGAAACAAATCTGTGCTTTATTTCAAGAGCTCATTGGTTTATGACTATTTCAAGTCTATTAACATAACTTTGCTTCACATCAGAAGTTGTAATTAATATGTTTATATATTACAGGTTTGTGACCACAGACTGCAGTGCAGATGTGAACCTGGATGGCTGCCGCCAGATTGTGAAACATCACCCGGAAGTGACGGTTTGTCTAAAGGTAGTAATGTAGATACTGCATTCAAAATAGCCTCATATTCTTTTAGTTTTGAGGATCATGAATGAGATTTTTTGCACTTCTAGGTGTGATGGTAGCCATTGCTGTGGTTGTCTGTGTTCTGATTGGGATACTTCTAATCGGACTGGCCGTTTTCTTTTACAAACGCAGAAACAGTACAACACATTCATCCAGGTAAGAGTATAGTAAACAAATGCATTCACACTTGGGGAAGTCAATAAATCAACTGTATTTAATGCTGCCGTTTTCTCAGAAGCCATCCAAGGCAGCAGAAAGTTCATATAGTTGACATCCCCGACTTGAGCCAAATGAGATTGCCGATGCCAAATCAGAAGCCATCTCCGGTAACTCGCAGTCACATCTAACTTCTTTTAAACAAACAAATCTCTTATAAAATCGATACCCAATGAATGATGAAAGTGTGATCAGGAACTTGTGATCTTTATATTCTTAGGTAATAAAACCTACAGCACCTCCTCCACCTCCACCCTCTTCAGTCCAGCCCAGAGCTATACATAATGACTTCCGAACTGCACGTCAGGTAACACAACATGTACACAACACAACATCAGTATTTAAAGGGTTGGTTCACACTGAAATGAAAATTTTGTAACCATTTACTCATTCTCATGTTTTATTATGACTTCTGTGGAACAAGTGTTTAGCATTCGTGCTGCTCTTTTTAACACACAATGTAAATACAGGTCCTTTTAAAAAAATTAGCATATTGTGATAAAGTTCATTATTTTCCATAATGTAATGATAAAAATTAAACTTTCATATATTTTAGATTCATTGCACACCAACTGAAATATTTCAGGTCTTTTATTGTTTTAATACTGATGATTTTGGCATACAGCTCATGAAAACCCAAAATTCCTGTCTCAAAAAATTAGCATATCATGAAAAGGGTCTCTAAACGAGCTATTAACCTAATCATCTGAATCAACTAATTAACTCTAAACACCTGCAAAAGATTCCTGAGGCTTTTAAAAACTCCCAGCCTGTTTCATTACTCAAAACCGCAATCATGGGTAAGACTGCCGACCTGACTGCTGTCCAGAAGGCCATCATTGACACCCTCAAGCAAGAGGGTAAGACAGAAAGAAATTTCTGAACAAATAGGCTGTTCCCAGAGTGCTGTATCAAGGCACCTCAGTGGGAAGTCTGTGGGAAGGAAAAAGTGTGGCAAAAAACGCTGCACAACGAGAAGAGGTGACCGGACCCTGAGGAAGATTGTGGAGAAGGACCGATTCCAGACCTTGGGGGACCTGCGGAAGCAGTGGACTGAGTCTGGAGTAGAAACATCCAGAGCCACCGTGCACAGGCGTGTGCAGGAAATGGGCTACAGGTGTCGCATTCCCCAGGTCAAGCCACTTTTGAACCAGAAACAGCGGCAGAAGCGCCTGACCTGGGCTACAGAGAAGCAGCACTGGACTGTTGCTCAGTTTTGCATGTCATTCGGAAATCAAGGTGCCAGAGTCTGGAGGAAGACTGGGGAGAAGGAAATGCCAAAGTCCAGTGTCAAGTACCCACAGTCAGTGATGGTCTGGGGTGCCATGTCAGCTGCTGGTGTTGGTGCACTGTGTTTTATCAAGGGCAGGGTCAATGCAGCTAGCTATCAGGAGATTTTGGAGCACTTCATGCTTCCATCTGCTGAAAAGCTTTATGGAGATGAAGATTTCATTTTTCAGCACGACCTGGCACCTGCTCACAGTGCCAAAACCACTGGTAAATGGATTACTGACCATGGTATTACTGTGCTCAATTGGCCTGCCAGCTCTCCTGACCTGAACCCCATAGAGAATCTGTGGCATATTGTGAAGAGAAAGTTGAGAGACGCAAGACCCAACACTCTGGATGAGCTTAAGGCCGTTATCGAAGCATCCTGGGCCTCCATAACACCTCAGCAGTGCCACAGGCTGATTGCCTCCATGCCACGTCGCATTGAAGCAGTCATTTCTGCAAAAGGATTCCCGACCAAGTATTGACTACTGAGTGCATAACTGAACATAATTATTTGAAGGTTGACTTTTTTTTTTGGTATTAAAAACACTTCTTTTGTTTTGGTCGGATGAAATATGCTAATTTATTGAGACAGGAATTTTGGGTTTTCATGAGCTGTATGCCAAAATCATCAGTATTAAAACAATAAAAGACCTGAAATATTTCAGTTGGTGTGCAATGAATCTAAAATATGTGAAAGTTTAATTTTTATCATTACATTATGGAAAATAATGAACTTCATCACAATATGCTAATTTTTTGAGAAGGACCTGTAGATGAGGATCAGGAGCTGTCAAGCTAACAAGCTCCAAAATGTTAAAAAGGCATCATAAGAGTACCAATAGTCCATGTGACTCGTATACAATATTCAACATCTACTAAAGTAGTGCAATAGCTGCGTGTGAGAAACAGACTGAAATTTAAGTTATTCACTGAAAATTCTTCTTTGAAAATCTTGCTAGACAGCTTTGGTCACCATTTACTTTAAGCTTGGATATTCTGCTATAAAAACAAGGAAGAACTGAATACATTTTGACAGAAATTTGTGTCTTTTGAACTATACTGTACCTTTAACAATCCCAGTCACTCGGCTTAAAAGAAAATCAAAGCATTAAAAAGATGATCTGGCAAGTTCACATTTATTAATTTAGCAAACATGTTCATTTCAAGTGAATAATACATTTGAAAAAATGTGGTCTAATGATTATAATGTCTTCAGAAACATAATATTTCTTTTTCCTCTAAATGAAATTTCCCCTTGTAGGCTCTTAGACCACCTCCAAAGGTGTGAAGAAGTTGAAGCCGCACTTTGGGTTGGCCAATCACTCCAGACCCCGCAGAAGGGATTGCAAGTGTTTGAAAGAGCTGAGGCTTAATAAACGGCAAGATTGTCCTTGAGCCAAATAATGCATTTTAAGTCATCTTTGTTTTTAACTAAAAAGTTTTTTTTTTTTACATTTATTTATTTGTACAGTCTGTTTCTGTGTAAATGAGCCTCCCTTGTGTAATGATTTTCATTATTTGCAGTCAGCAATAATAGCTGACTCACATCCACTGAATGTTCAAGAGACAAAATTAGAACGCTGCTTTTCTAAAGTTTATAAAAATGTCACTCCCCCTCTGTAAAGTCACTAACTGTAATAGATGTGATTGTTTTTAGTTTGTCATAGCAATGTTTGCCAAGCAGTTGAAAACAACACTGTACTTTGCAACATACATTTTGCTACAATGCACTTTCAACATTTATTTTCAAATCTAAATGCTTAAATTCTAATGTTTACTTTAGTTTATTTATTAAATCTGATTGTACTGTAAAATGCAATACTACTGTAAATGTACATTGAAAAACACATTCAGGTGATTTTTTTATAATAAATATATGACCAAACTTGAGGTCCACAGTATTTCATTTTTTTTTATTCATCTTCTCAACTGATACATCTACATAATATCAAGAATTTAAGGTGGCCTCACATTACACGTACTTGACAAAAGGATTGTTCATTTAAATCCCCAAATTGTATTTATAATTATGCTATAATTGTGCATAAACATTTCTAAACATTCCCACAAATGGTGTTTCCACGTCTCTGAGCCGGTGAAGGCCTAATACTCAACATTTCAGCTCTTTAACACTCAAGATGAAAGCAAACAGAAAGTTCAAACTTTCTCTTCCTTTCTCTAGAACTTCAGGTTACCAGTATACTAAGACCAGCCCACACCCTGTTAAACCATTATAACAGTAGAACTTATCCTAGATCAGCTGCTTAATCTCAGAACTTTCATTGGTATCAGTTGAAATACATGCAAATAAATGTAGCACATTTTTCAGTCCACAGACATACAGCATTACCTGAAGAGAGTGTGTGTGTGTGTGTGTGTGTGTGTGTGTTCTGCAGGATCAAATCAGTGCAGTATGTCAGAAGGTTACACTGGAATCACATTTAGTTATATTAAAAGCTGTGAGTTCATACACCTAAAGATGAGCACAACATATTTGTCATATTATTAGTTTGAATGCTTTTGGAATGAAAAAGGTGACTTAAATCAGACTCATGTGAAGAACAGGTCCTGTATTAAAAAATAAAAAATAAAAAATAAAAAAAAACCTTGGTCTAAATAAAACACAAAACATTACAAAATTAAATGTCTAAAATGTTAAATACATTTCAAATGCTTCCAGAAAATGACCCGCTAAATGGGGTGGGTTGCTCATGTGCATAGCATCAGACATTCAACATCGCAAATCAGGATTAAACCTGCTTAAAAACCAGATAAACGTGCTGCTCTTGTTCAAATAAAGAAGAAAAAACACTCGCATTAAAAGGCTTAATGCTGTTCCTCTATAGTCTCTGTATCTCAACAGTAGGCGGAGACAAATCACAACTTTTCCAAAAACCTGTTAAACCAAGCAGCCACATTAAAAAAATCCCTCCCACATCCCTCACATAGTGTTACAGCTGAAACCACCAAGTCAGTTTGTGACACATTTATCAAGCTCTGTTAATGTCTCAAGCACGAACCAGATTAAATTGATAGTCTGTACGAGCAGTTTCTCTTCAGAGGATGAATACTTTGCTGTAAATGATGGCCTGGTGGGCATTCTTTAAAGAGAGAATAAGACTTCCTGCTTCAGAGTTACATATACATGTTCTCTATTTACAAGGACTTGCATTTAGTGCAATATTACCTCCCCATCATACCCCCAAATGGGGTAGGTTAGAGCTCTGGCAGCTAACTCATCACAGCACAAAAAAAGACTTTGGCTTTTGAGTCGATCAAAGCAACTTCACACATCCAACATTGGCTGTTACATTTGTACATGAGCTTATAGGCATACTAACAGATTCTACTGTATATAGTAACGAATAAAACTGGTTGCCAATCTCCTCTATCATCGTGTTAAAAAGAGTGGCAGAAAAGAAACGGAGGGGAAAGAGAGCCTCGTCTTGTCTGTTAAACGATAGCTCCAAAAAGACCAAAATAACTTCCAGTACAGATGCAGAAGTTACGTTATGTGATTGAGACGGTGCTTTCATAAGACTTGCTTTGTTATTTCTTTTTTTCACTCCCACAAGTAGAATCAAACAACTTCTATTTAAGATCGATTGTTATGCCTCCTTGCATGTGGTGTGTCATCTGGCAGGATTCAAGTGCTGTTTTAGGAAAAAACTCATTTAAATGCTAGTTTTTCCATGTAGAAACAGACACGTGGACCCCAAAGCAGCTAATATTTTCTTTTAGTCTGAAACGGAATAACATTTAAGCAGCTATAAAATAGTTTTCAATGAACTTATAACTTATTTCCCTTAGGTTTGCGTTGCCTTATCCCTTACGGACATTTTTATGCCAGCATATTCAGCCAAACCATCCCCTTGCCAAATACATTTTGACATACAATATTATAAAACGGTATTAACTAGATCTCTTGATCTGTAAAGCATCTTAAATCCTTATCTCTGTCTTCGGGTTACAAAACTGTAGTCTCAGTTTAAAGGTTGACACATTGTGACTGTATACCTGTATTTTGCACACTTTCAAATGTTCACTCATCTTTAAAATGTTGCTATCGAGTACATCTAATACATTTCATTTAATAAATAAAATCTCATGTTTGTACTTAGTTGTAAGTGATTTCTCTCTCTGTTTGTGGAATGATTCCTCTCCACATCCCAGGCAGTTTGGGGTCTGTCTCGTGGAGAACGTGGCAGAGCAAGAGAAAAAGCTATGGAGGAGAGGAAGTGCAAAATCCCCCCGGCCCTTACACATTCCCGTCAGTGCCGTTTTTCTCGTTGGCAGTGTTAACTGTAGTACCGTCGGGTTGCTTGCCGTCCTTCCGAGGAGGCATCCGTTCGTTTATTCGGTCCAGGCCACGAGCTTCTTCGAAGTTGCGGATTTTCCGTGTAGGGGAAAAGCCTTGGATGGCTAATGGGGAAAAAAAGAAATCAAGGAAAATGTGCATGAGGATTAAGGATAACGTTCAGTGTTTAGTTAAACATTGTTTAATGAGACAATTAACAAACTGTGCTAGCATACAAAACACCTTTGGTCATTTACAGTGATCAAAAAGCCCATTCTTCTGATTAATTATTTAAAAGGTTATAAATCCCATAATTTACTCACCTTCAAGCCATCCTAGGTGTATATTACTTTATTCTTTCAGCCAAACGCCATCAGAGTTATATTAAAAAATATCCTGGCTCTTCCAAGCTTTATTTTGGGAGTGAATGGTACCTTGTTTTTTGAAGGGGGTTAATAAAGGCAGGGGGTTAATAAAGGCATTCTGAAGCAAATGCGTTTTGTATATCCATATTTATAACTTTATAAACCATAATGACTGGCTTCCGGTAATGGTTGTACGCGAGTCGATTTCCAGCCAATGAGTGAACACTGACCCAATGCATGACGTACTGACGAACGCGGAAGCACAGAGGATAGCACAAAACAAAACACCGGTCATGAATTAGACGTTTAAAACTAGTTTTTTTAAAGAGAAATATCGGAGGAGCTTGAGTTTGTTGTCCAGCCCTATTTGTTAGAACAGCGAGAGGCGTCTACTCTCACCTTACGCTACTCATACATCCTACGCTGGAACTCGACTCTTGTGAACATGCAGACGGACGTTACCACAAGCTAGTGATTATAGTTTATAAAGTAATAAAACATTTATGGATATTTGATTTACAAAAAAGCATCGCTTCAAAAGGCCCTGATTAACCCCCTGGAGCCGTATGGATTTCTTTTATGATGGATGGATGTGCCAGGATATCTTTTAATATAACTCAGATTGTGTTCGGCTGAAGGAAGAAAGTCATATGTACCTAGGATGGCTTCAGGGTAAATTATGTAAATTATGGAATAATTTGAATTTTTGGGAGAACTAACCCTTTAACAATCAAAAAAATGCAATTGAGGTGATTTTTAAAAATGGACTAAAGACTAATGGACTTCAGCACCTAACTTTTGAATGGTAGTGTATGTCCAATAAATTATTATAAAAAAAAAACATTTAACATAATTAACAAATCATGAAAGTAAAAGCAATCAATGATCTGAACAATGATCAGAGAGTATAAGATGGCGGCAACAATTGTAACTTGCAATTTTACAGTGTAAACAACACACAACAAACAACTTTATCTGATGCAGTAAATATTAGAATAAACCCTAAACCTTTTATATGTATATATACAAATATTTATTTTGTGCAAAAAAAGGAGAAAAAGTAATTGTGTATTATTTAGAACATGGAATAAAATGAGATTGAGCCAATTCAATTAAACTTTCTGATGGATATCACTCATTATTTAAACCTCTAAAAGAGCTTGAACTGAACACATATTTAACCAAACAACACGCACAAACAGGAAAGCTGATTCTTGCACAACTGCCAGGCTTATTATGTCCTGTGACATTGTTGAAAACACCAGGCAATTGCCAAGGTGAATCATGACCGGTTCCAGTTGACAGAGCAAACACAAGATGCCCATTCATTTGAAAAAAAAAAAAAAAAAAAAAAAAAAAAAAATGGAGATGCAGCTGAACTTAGAAATCAGGTCAGCGACTCGACAGCAAGAGTATCTTACTCTGGCACACATTTCATGCCCGCGTGTGTGTGTGTTTGTTTGCACAATAGCTTAGAGCCTTGATATATTACAGCAGCGGGCTAGAGGCCTCGGGCAAGAGTGTTAAGCGTGAACGGGAACAGACAGTCTTAGGTGTGCAGAGTCGTAACAAGATTAGAATCTGAAAATACTCGGCAGAGGGAGGTCTCGACCTCTCCGCAAATCATATGGGAGCATGAGAACTAGCACGCTCTAGCCAGGACCCGGGACTAACCAGCAAACCCCTCCGGTCAGCAGGCAACATCGAATTATTGATGTGGACCAGAGCCGGCGCTGCATGACTGCATGGACGGTTTCAAGTGTCCGCATCCATCATATATTAAAAAAAAATACTGGCCCAGAGTAATTTCAGGTTCTTTTGTAAAATCTGAATCTCATCTGGGAAAGAAATGCCCTGTTGCTTTGTTAGGCTGCTTTCAATTAAATTCACAAAAATATGGTGGTGCAAGAATACAGATTTTCCATGATTAGTCTGAGACACACACAGACACTGAGGTGAACGACAAGGCATGAAAAGACACATAGGGGAAGACAGTACAACTTATAGGGGAAGGATATGACACACAGTACTGCGAGTGTACCTCGACCCTCCTTTGCTTCTACGGTGGCTGTATTAGCAAGCGCAGCAGGAAGTAGCCCAAAATGAATGGAAAAAGAGGTTATATCATTGTGATTACATTCAACCCCCAAGCATATTAACCCATACACCACAGCAATGCAGTAATATTAGTAGTTAAAGAATCAGACAGTAATGTAAACAGAGAGAGTCAGTGAGAGAAAAAGCAGTTAGTTCTTTACAATCAGATTCTACAGTACTGGGGTAAAACAGGCTTTAAAGATGCAGTATGTAATATTGACAGCTAGTGGTTGAAATAGGCACTGCAGCCCAAATTTAAAATATTGGAGGGAGTCGTTTCCCCCGCTCCCTCCTCCTCAGACGCGACGCTCAGGCGGGTTTCCAGATTGAGGACATGCAACAGGAACGAGCGCAATTGACAAGGGAAAGTGACCAGCCTTATACTGCAAGTTGATGTATACGTTTGCTCTGGTCATGGAGCTTTTTAGATGGATGCCGAGGCTTTTTACGTCGGGTAGAATCTGTGATCTCTGACCCATTTCATTTTCTGGCATCCATGGTTGCCGTGTTTTCCACCGACTGGTAACCCGGGGTGTCGAAATACTATTGGGTAAATTGGCAGTGGGCGGGATCTGTTAAGAAAATTTTAGGGATTATCTTCAAAGTAGAAGTATTTTAACACGTTTTGTCCCAAGTCTCAAGAATCAGTGAATACTACATATATATTTTGAATTGATCTCTGATTTGGAGATTTCCACAGTCAAAAAATGCAGGCAGACACAACTAATCTATGCTGTATCAGCTGACAGGAGAGGATGGTAGTCAGACAATCAAACCATCTCATATCATTTTCAGAGTATATGAAGGACTTATTGGATAGTGATAGCTGGAAATGTCCTACTGTCCTAAGGTCTTGTCTTAAGATCAGGGCAACAGCTTTGTAGTTTCTTTAATATTCCTCTCTGTTCTGCAGGTCTAGTTGGCTTGATGTCTGACACACATAGACAATGAATCCGGCCTCTTAAAGGTCACAGAATTTTCTATATGTACTTCAAATAGTGACATCCACCCACGGCCTCCCTCTGATTTCCCTCCCTCACTCCTTCACTGCTCACTTGTACAACGTTCCCTACGCCATTGGCCTTTAAAAGACCTTTAGTCCTAGACACCTCGCCAACACATTCATCTACTCAGAGTGGACCGGTCAATCCAGAGAGTCATGAGGCAGCTCTCATGACAATCACCCTCTGATTGGCTCTCTGAGTTCTCAGAATCTCTGTAGTGCAGGTGGCTAAATCATAAGGCTTAATGTGAGCCTACAAGGGAAGGGCTTTATACAGCACATAGGCAAATAATCAGTGTAAACATTACATTAGTTCATAGGTGGACAGCAGGATGTAACAGGTGTACATAGTGTCCAGAATAAGCTAGGCAGTTTGTGTAATTGTGATTATACAACATTATATTTTAATTAAAGAAAATGAAGCCTATTTTTAAGAACATTAAGATTTCTTGAACTGAGACATTATTTTCATGACAATAAACCCCGTTTCATCAATTCTTTTTTTTTTTTAAATAAGCACTTTTATTTATCAAGAATGCATAACCAAAAGTGACAGTAAAGACTTAATTGCTACAAGGAAAATCTATTTCAAATACAGTAAATGTTCTTTTGAACATTCTATTCATGATTTTGTGAATGATGATGATGATTTCACAGCAGTTTTCAACTGTTTCTTGAGCTCCAAATCAGCATATTAGAATAATTTCTGAAGGATCACGTGACACTGAAAACTAGAGTAATGATGCTGAAAATTCAGCATTGCCATCACAGGAATAAATCACATTTTAAAATATATTAAAAACAGTTTGTAATAGTAAACTCCAGTTTGTGGTAGTAGTTGTATTTTTCAAATAAATGCAGCCATGAGCATACACAAGCAACAACTTTTGAACAGTAATATAATATAATATAAAGAATATAATATAATATAATAATTAGTGCTGTCAACTCGATTTATCGCATCTAACAAAAGTTTTTGTTTATATATGTGCGTACTGTATTTATATATTATAAAATTTATATATATATATATATATATATATATATATATATACACTACCGTTCAAAAGTTTGGGGTCGGTACGATTTTAAATCCTTTTAAAATAATTCTCTTCTGCTAACCATGGCTGCGCTTATTTGATTAAAAATACAACAAAAATCAGTTATAGTATTAAATATTATTCCAGTGTAAATCAGCTGTTTTCTGTGTGAATATATAGTAAAGTGTAATTTATTCCTGTGATCAAAGCTGAATTTTCAGCATCACCAGTGTCAGTGTCTTCAGTGTCAAATGATCCTTCACAAATCAGTATAATATGAGGATTTGATGCTCAAGAAACATTTATTATTATTATCAATGTTGAAACAGTTGTTGGTCTGTCAGTTGTACAGTTTTTTTTGTTTTTTTTTGGATTCTTTGATGAATAGGAAGTTCAAAAGAACAGCATTTGTTTGAAATAGAATCTTTTGTAACATTATAAATGTCTTTACTGTCCTTGATAAATAAAAGTATTGATTTCTTTCCTCCAAAAAATAAAAATAAAATTCTCACTGACCCCAAACTTTTGAACGGTAGTATATATATATATATATACACTCACCGGCCACTTTATTAGGTACCCCTTGCTAGTAACGGGTTGGACCCCCTTTTGCCTTCAGAACTGCCTCAATTCTTCGTGGCATAGATTCAACAAGGTGCTGGAAGCATTTCTCAGGGACTTTGGCCCATATTGACATGATGGCATCACACAGTTGCCGCAGATTTGTCGGCTGCACATCCATGATGCGAATCTCCCGTTCCACCACATCCCAAAGATGCTCTATTGGGTTGAGATCTGGTGACTGTGGAGGCCATTTTAGTACAGTGAACTCATTGTCATGTTCAAGAAACCAATTTGAAATGATTAGAGCTTTGTGACATGGTGGAAGTAGCCATCAGAGGATGGGTACATGGTGGCCATAAAGGGATGGACATGGTCAGAAACAATGCTCAGGTAGGCCGTGGCATTTAAACGATGCCCAATTGGCACTAAGGGGCCTAAAGTGTGCCAGGAAAACATCCCCCACACCATTACACCACCACCACCAGCCTGCACAGTGGTAACAAGGCATGATGGTTCCATGTTCTCATTCTGTTTACGCCAAATTCTGACTCTAACATCTGAATGTCTCAACAGAAATCGAGACTCATCAGACCAGGCAACATTTTTCCAGTCTTCAACTGTTCAATTTTGGTGAGCTCTTGCAAATTGTAGCCTCTTTTTCCTATTTGTAGTGGAGATGAGTGGTACCCGGTGGAGTCTTCTGCTGTTGTAGCCCATCCGCCTCAAGGTTGTGCGTGTTGTGGCTTCACAAATGCTTTGCTGCATACCTCGGTTGTAACGAGTGGTTATTTCAGTCACTGTTGCCCTTCTATCAGCTCGAACCAGTCTGGCCATTCTCCTCTGACCTCTGGCATCAACAAGGCATTTCCACCCACAGAACTGCCGCTCACTGGATGTTTTTTCTTTTTCGGACCATTCTCTGTAAACCCTAGAGATGGTTGTGCGTGAAAATCCCAGTAGATTAGCAGTTTCTGAAATACTCAGACCAGCCCTTCTGGCACCAACAATCATGCCACGTTCAAAGTCACTCAAATCAACTTTCTTCCCCATACTGATGCTCGGTTTGAACTGCAGGAGATTGTCTTGACCATGTCTACATGCCTAAATGCACTGAGTTGCCGCCATGTGATTGGCTGCTTAGAAATTAAGTGTTAACGAGCAGTTGGACAGGTGTACCTAATAAAGTGGCCGGTGAGTGTATATATATATATATATATATATATATATACACACACACACACACATATATATATATATATATATATATATTAGGGCTGTCAAATAATTAATCGTGATTAATCACATCCAAAATAAAAGTTTTTTTTACATAATATATGTGGGTGCACTGTGTATAATTATTTTATATATATAAATACACACACATGCTTGTATACATTTAAGAAATATTTTCATGTATATACTGTATATAGATTTATATTATATATAAATATTTTATATATAAATAATATTTTTTTCTTAAATATACATGCATGTGTGTGTATTTATATATATACAAAATAATTATACACAGTGCACCCACATATATTATGTAAAAAAACCTTTTATTTTGGATGTGATTAATCGTGATTAATCATTTGACAGCCCTAATATATATATATATATATATTCCATGATCTTCCTGTATTCTTTTTAAAGTTTAAAAGCTTTACACTTTCATCAAATAAAGCAAATAAACAATAATGACAGAATATTAATTTTAGGGTGAACTTGTGAAAATAATGTCCCAAAATGAAAAAAGGCAAATTCAATGGTCCTAAAATAGTTAAATTTTCTTTATACAAAACATCTCTTTTTGAACTGGACGGTTTTCACGAGATTTGCCGTTTTAAAAGATCAGCAATAAGGATCTGAGCAGCTGGGGGTGTGGGCAGTGATTTTGCAGCTATTACCGGAAGGTTTCTAAGAAGTGAATTAAGCAGCCGGGTGCAGCCCAGAAAAGCTCATGGAGATGGAGAGCACAGCCCTCATCAGGATCTACCACTATGAGTTCTGATGCATTTCAGCATGAGGGAGAGAGATAGATCAGCATCTTTAGTATCTGGCATGCCAAAGCTCATTCTAGCTGCCGTGTGCTGGTACTTTAGTATGGGGGCCAGTGCAGAGTCACACGTGGTGATGATGATGATCCAATTATGACTTCCGGGTTGGATGCGATACGCCCTCAAACGCACTTCTCTAATCTACCATTACAAAACCACAAACATGCTCACTTACCACTCTGTAAGGTCTGCTTGCCTCCAGACAACACTCCGACAGGTAGCGTTCCGGTTGGGGTGAGCCCTTTGAGGGTCAGTACACTCTCGCTCTCTTCCCTGAGGCCCAACACACACACACACACACACAAACACATCGTATTAGAGTTGTGTTCAAAGAACTAAACGGCACATAATCAATTAGGACGGGGTGGGGGGAGAAAGAGGAAATATGGCAATTTGAAACTTTGCTGTAGTGCCAACCTAATCTGAATATTGCTCAGAAAACCAGAGACAAAAGACTTCAAGATATTCTCTATTCCTCCATTATCTATGGCATTGTTCATCTGGAAAAATGTCTAATATAATTAGACCGTTATTCAGCATGATGACTCACTGACGCCAGCTCATTAATCCTAATGGAGGAAAGATTGTGTGTGGCGTTAAAACAAAACTTCATTGTATGAGGTAGTTTTTCCAGCTCTTTATACAAACATTTTTTTTAAAAAAACTGTAATTATCTCCAAAGCAGCACAGTGAATATATATATATATATATATATATATATATATATATATATATATATATATATATATATATATATATATATATATATATATATATGTGTGTGTGTGTGTGTGTGTGTGTGTGTGTGTAAATAATTGCATTCAGACTGACCTGAGCACAGAAAAGACTCTGGCCATTTTCCCAATGGCACGGATCTTATTTCTAATCACCTCCTTACGGACAGCTGGAGTTCCACCTGTGGAAACACAAAACCAGCATCAAAACTGTCTCCCCATTGGACCTTTGACCCACAAACCAGTTAAGAAAGGGGGGGGGGGGGGGGGGGACTAAAAATGTGGAGATGCTGAGAATCAGACTGACTTCCTGAGCAATATTTGCATTTCTGAATATAATTGTGATTGCACTTTGAACTGCATTTGAAACAGTTACTCTTTGTTTTTGTTTTATAATTCAACTTTTTTTATTGTTCAACAGTCAAAACTTCAGAGTACATCACCACATTATACAGTAATCACCTTTGCAATTACACACTCAGCCACTAGTCCCCATCAGTGGAATACAACCAAAACAAAAGCACATGAAAATTAAACAATTATTAAGCAGTCCTATTTACACCATTTTTATATGCTGCCAAAAATGATCCCATGTTTTTTTCATTTCTCCCTCATTATGCAGTCTCCCCAACATGCTCTCATATGAAGCAATTTCAATCATCCCATCAACCCAGTCTTTTAGGTCTGGGGTTTTGGGACATTTCCAATTTCGCAAAATCATCCTGGCAGCTGTAATACAGCCACTCTTAATAAGGGTACATTTATTTTTTGCTATGGTGGGTATCACTGATTTATCTCCAAGAAGGCATAATCGTGGTTCCACAGGTAAATTAGACACCATCCACTCTTCAAGTACTGCCAGAATTTTACACCAGAATGGGTGAACTAAAGAACATTCCCAAATCATATGTTAATAAGTACCCTCTTCTTCATTACATTTCCAGCACAGATTATTTCCAGCTATCCCCATCCTGTAAAGCCTAGATGGTGTATAATAATATCTATGTATTATTTTGTATTGAATGAATTTCCCCCTAGCTTCCCGTATACAGTTACTCTTTCTTAACTTGATAAAGCTAAATGAATAATAATAAAAATTAAGCAATGAATAATAATTATTTTTTAGTGATAATTAATGAAGTTTAAAAAAAACTTTATTAGAATTTTACTATATACTGATGAGCCAAAACTGTACGACCAGTCACAGACTCTTTCAGCAGGACATTGCACCCTGCCACAGTGCAAATATTGTTCAGAAATGGTTTGAGGGACATGATGAAGGGTTCAAGGTGTTGCCCTGGCCTCCAAATTCCCCAGATCTCAATCCAATTGAGCATCTATAGGATGTGCTGGACCAACAAGTTTGATCCACAGTGTCTCAACCTCGTAACCTACAAGACTTGAAGGATCTGCTGCTAAAGTCTTGGTGCCAGATACCACAGGACACCTTCATGGGTAAGCGCAGGTTTGGCAGCACGTGGAGGACCAACAGCATTTTAGGTAGATGGTCATAATGTTCTGGCTCATTGGTGTACAAGTAGTATATTTCTTTTGCAATTTCTTCAGTTTGATGCCAAAATAAAGCTTGGTTTTAACCAAAATGCCAAAGAATGCTGTGCAAATATATATATATATATATATATATATATTGTGCCAGACATATGTTACTTGTCTAATAAATGTATCATAATTATTATATTTATTATTAATAATATTTTAAAATGTATTATTATCCCCATTATTCATTATTATTTAGTTGCTATTATTTTAGATAATATTTGGCAGAAAACTGAAGGAAGGCCTTACTGCTTCATTGTGTAGGCGGGGAAATGCTGTCATCAAAGGGTATGGAATTGTTTGGAATTCTTTTTTAATTGTTTGAAATTACTCAAATGAAAAAATAAAGTGAGCCAGGAGTGCTTCAAGGTGCACATTGTAAGCCAACCGCATCATTTGCCTTGTGTGGGCTTGAGAGTATTTGCAGAAGAGCGTCACGCCTTCGCTCTAATAATTTAAGCAGATCAGTTTCTGGTTTCATAATTACACAAGGCAAATCCACAATCCTACAGTCTATATATTATATTCTAAAATATATTCAAATACAAAAAAGTTACTTTAAATAATTATATATTGCATTTCCCAATATTACTCTTTTTACATAAGAGCATACATCATGTGAATTCTACTCTTCAGAACAATCTGTCTAAGAAGAAAGTATCATGGGATGACATCAGCAGACACCAGACCTCCAGGGAGAGCATCTCAGACAGCCAGAATGACAGTTGGACACTTCTGAGGACCTGCTGTCTGTGCTGATGATGACCAGACAGACAGACGCTCTCTCTCTCTCTCTCACTCACACACACACACACAGAGAGAGAGCTGGAAACACATTCAAGCTGTTCTTCATTAAATTATGTCACTGAACGTGAAGCAAGAGGAAATCAGCACATAAGGCAGTTGTCAGCCTACCAAACTTTAATTCAATCTCAGTTGTATACTATGTGTATAAATAAACACTCTTACCTTCACATAAGTCATCTCCCTCTGACATGAGTTCATCATCAGAGCAGATATTTAGGACATTCACCAACATCTCAGTCACTGTAAATAGAGAACCTCCTCATTAGATCGGCAATGTAAGTTGACATTTTACATAATATCTGTGTCCATGCAGTTCTTTATCCAGTGGTCCATTGACCCTAGAGCTTCTCTTTAAAATGTTCATGGTGCTTACAGCCATGTACACTTTGTTTTACCACCAAAAAACGTTAAGACTTCATGAAAGGTGTTCTTGAATAGTGTTCTACATCTGCACAATTAATATGATGTTAAATTGCCCTATTATGCTTTTCAGGTATTGCCATTCATGTATTGTGTAATATAGCTGTATGTGAAGTCCACAAAGTTTCTAAGATCAAATTGCACAGCAAATAGAGTTGTCTTCCCAAAAGAAGAACTGATTGGGAATTTCCTGAAACGAATCGCCAGTAATTCCAGCCTTACTTCCTGCTCGAACCTATATTGGTTAGTAACAAATTTCCATAATGACAGCCTATGTTCTTCATTGGCTGCCCTTGAACAGCATCTAGTTTTGACCTACCCTTAAACAACAAACAAGTGCTGAGGAAGCCTCGAGATCTGAAATTCTGATATAGAAATGGCCGTTTCGTTTTCAACACGTGCAGTAACTAGACCAATCAAAGCAGACTGGGCCATCTGACCAATCAGAGCTCACAGAAAGGAGATGTTTAGATCTTTCATCAACCCATTTCAGACAATGAGAGAAAAGAGGTATGGCTACAATGTATATTATGAGAAAAAATAAAGTGTTTTTTGATCTTGGATGTATGCAAGTCTATTGCAGGAGACCTCCAAAACAAAATTAGGAACCTTTAAAACTGCATAATATGAGCACTTTAATAATGTTTAAAATTGGAGTTTTTCTGTATTCTTCCCACAGAGAGGACACAGCCACCAGACGCATCGTTTACAAAGGCATAGTCGCCTCTTCTTTACATGGCCTGCAAAATACTACCAACCATCTCACTTGCTGAAAAATCACAACTCCCACTTCAGGTCTCAGTTTGGACACTTACCTTTCTCGCCCACAAAGGGCAGCGACCACGTAAACACATCCATAAAGTTGGGTAACCAGTACGGGTGAGGAGAGCAGTTGAACTGTCTAATGTTCATAACGTTGTTTTCATATTTCAATACGGCCGCTGAGGAATAAAAACACAGGGAGATGTCATGTATATCCATGAAAGCATTCAACCAATAAATAAACAAAAAAGAAAAACAACCTGATAGGCTGCCATGGAGTTTACGAACAGTCATCTGATACTTGGTTTAAAAAAACTTGAGAGAACCTGCACTAAACAAGAATGCGTACTATGGCATAAACTAACATACCTTTGTTGTTATAGACATCTAGGTAATTTGGTGCTGAGAAAATGGTAATTAATGAAGGGAAGCCTGTTGTCTGACTTTTTCTATACATCCTGTACCTGAAACAGAAACACACACAAATGTGTGTCAAAAAGGCATCTGGCGTGGACCAATAAAAGAAGTACTCTTTTTTTCATTGTCAAATAATGTGTTTTTGTCAAAGTCAGTGAGTAACTATCCAATGATCCACAGTTTCAAATTGATTTTTTTTTTTAATTGGCAAACACAGAGGGACTACACTGAAATCACAAGATTAACCTAGCAAAACATCAAATTAGCAAAGAAAGCACAAGCTATTTTAGTCTTACTATCATAAAACAGCAGAATCAATACTTACCCGGCATCTTGTGCTTCATGAGCTCTAATTACTGACAACAGGTTGTTGTTTGTCAAAAAGTCACAGACTGCTGCATAACTGTAAAACAAGAGAAAGTCCTGAGGGTGTCATAGCGATAAGACAGACCGCGAGCAAGGTTTTTTTTTAACCTTTTTCAACATATCACCTCTGAAGCACTTGCTCATACTGAACAAGCCAATGAACTAGAGCTGGGAGATATAGACCAAAAATCGTATCTCTGTATTTTTAGGCTGAATGGTGATATAAATATATCAGTAACAATACAATCAATATATCAGTAACAGCACACGTATAAAGTTATTTTGAAGTATGTTTAATGTTTATAGGACAATTTGGGTCATGCACTTTCCTCGCAGCAGCTCTGTGTCCTCCGCTTTTCTCAGATGCGTTCGCAACATCAAAATAATGTATATATATATATAGATATAAATGGTATTGCCACAAGCTATTTTGTTGACAAAACTGGATATACCGCCCAGACCTGATTCTCTTTAGGTCCACTCGATCTCAGTAAAGTGAACTCTCAAGCTATAAGACAACCACCTGCACTTTGTTAGCATTTAGATGGCGTGGTATAAACAAATGCCAGCTGGACAAGCAAACAGTGAATAAACACACTTATATATACACACCCAGAACGAAACCAGCTGGGTGACACCAGTCAGGTTAGTTCAGCGTAAATCAGACAGGATTTATTGCACCAGTTCACAGATGCCCGAATGACTCAGTTGCACATTTATGAGTAAGTATAAAGAATCTGGTCAAAGAAAAAAGTAAAAGAAAAATGAGTGCTTGAGTTATTTTATAGTCGGGTAAAAATAATTTAATTAATTTAAAAAAAATTGGTTACTCATCCAAACGTTCAATATGTCAAAATAAGCTAAGTTTGACAACCTATGGTTTTACCTTGGTGTAAATTACAACATATGTATTAATGTAATGTAAAATATCAAGATTTAATGACTTTGGCACTTTTATGTTCTAGGGGTTGATTTGTATTACAAAATGAAACTCTTTTTATTTTTGTTATATGAAGATTACAATAAAACTGACTTGGAAACTTTTTTATTACGGCTTCATATGCTACTTTTCAATTGCCTTTGACTTAAAACTATACAAATAGATCATAAAACAAGAATTATGTTTAAAACTACTATAATCGAACAAAGAATAAAATAAACATGAACTATTTCAATATATTAATTGTGAAAATGTAAAAAATACTAATTATAATTCATATAATATATTAAATTGAATTATACTTTATAACAAATAATTTATAAAAAAGAAAAAAAAAGAAAAATCAAGGTAAATATCACTTGTGAGCAGAATATTTTTATTGCGAGTCATGTTCAATAAAGCTGTAAATTATATTTATATAAATCCGGGAGAACGGACCCAATGAACAGCTTTGCTCCAGTACCTGAAAAAATAGGAGCAGCCTCTGACTGAGTTGTGGTTAAAGTGCTCTGCCGTCTTCTCACTGCCGTAGTCCTCTCCTGGGTCGGCCCAGATCAAATCACACATAGGACCAAATGCCGGGGGCTCCTTAAACCTGTCTAACTGCATAACACAGCGCAAAGACAAAGGAGGAGGCATGAACACATCTTGATTTTCAATACAAAGGCTGTAAGGAAAAGGACATAAACAGATGCTTACTTTCCTAATGTCATCTAAGCAGTTGATTTCTGGTGAGAGGCCACCGTGAACGCAGAGAAACTGCTGGTTTAGAAGAGCTGCAAGAGGCAAGCAGTCAAAGGCATCCATACATGCGTCATAAACCCTCTCGGAATACTTAATTTTACCTGTAAGGGGACAAAGACAGGAAAGTACGAATGTATTAAAGTTTGGTGCACTGAAGTCAAGAAATCACTCATTCAATAACATTTTTATCAAAGGCTGACCTTGGCATTTGAACTATTATACAGAAAACCATAAGTGTAATTTATGATGGGTGGGACATGTCTTTTTGCCATAGCCGTTTCTGTGCCCAGGACTTTATTAAATAACTTTCGACAAGGATATATTGAAAACTGTCTAATAAGGAGTGTGAATATTTGAGTTGACAGTGCAAAAATTCTCTAGTTTTTGATTCAGCTCAAAAGAAAAATGATTCAACTCGATCAGCAACACTTTACAATAAGGTCTTATTTGTTAAGATTAGTATGTGTATTAACTAACATGAACTAAAAATGAGCAATACATTTTAAAAAAAAACACACAATAAAAATCCAGTTCATTGTTCATCTAGTTCACAGTGCATTAACTAATGTTAACAAATACAACGTTTGATTTTAATAATGTATTAGTAAGTGTTGAAATTAATTAACTAAGATTAATAAATGCTGTAGAAATATTGTTCATTCTTAGTTCATGCTAACTAAAGTAAACAAATGAAACCTTACTGTAAAGTGTTACTTGATGTTCATACACAGCTTAATTTAAATAAATGTAGCCTACATGTATACAATTATTCAAAAACTTCCCTAAATATATCTTAGGCAGAAAAATAATAATAATACAAGCCATGTTTATTGCACCAAAAACACATTGGCTACTTGAGGTTAATATGATTTTTTTTTTTTTTTATGTTTTTGAATACTTGAAAACACTATTACATTTGAACCATGTGTTTTTATGTAAATGTAAACTTAAATTAAAATGTAATTTATTCCTGTGACGGCTCAATCATTTTATTATTTATTTTTAGCAATGTTAAAAACAGTTGTGCCGTTTAATATTTTTATGGAAACCACGAACATGTTTTCCACTTTTTTTTCATGATGATGAATAGAAGGTTCAAAAGAACAGCATTTATTTGAAATAGATTGTAAGTGTCTTTACTGTCACTTTTGATCAATTTAATGCATCCTTGCTGAATAAAAGTATGAATCATACTGACCCCAAACACCATGAGATGGCAGGGGTAATTTAAAACGTATTCCAGATTTCCAGTATATTACTCAAAAAATATATGAATGAATTTATCAATTTAAATACTAGTCGATTTGATCCCTTAAATGGGCAGAAAGAATGACTGTGCTCCCTCAAATCAAAAAGTGTAATGAGAACTTAACTATGTCGAAAACTAGCAACTTCCTGCGCTGCTGAAATTGACATTTCTCAATGTTATTATTAACAATTCAGTTTTGACACTGGCCTTACAGATCTGATCTTTAAATCAATACATACACTAAACAGTAAAACAGTAAAAGTCATCATCATCAAGGTTCGATTTTTTGTGCATAATAATATTTCCTGATGACAACCAGCACATCTTTACGCAGTCATAAAGTAATAACTACACCTAAAGCGACAAAACCCGCCACCAAGCAGACACAAAAGCAGCAGGGACTATTCGATTAAATTCAAATGAGCCTAATTAGTGCAATGCGAATACTTAATTCAGCTCCTGATTAAGCTTATTAATACTTCAGTATCAGGACTGAAGTAGTCTCATTAGTCTTGTCTTGGTTTCCACTAAATACAGCTGGGTTATTCACCGAACCGAATTACACATTCGCTCTGCGAAAGAGATCTCGTTGAGAGCACTTGGGCTTCCACTAAACATTCTGAAACCGCCTCCATCTTTGTTATGCAGAGCACAATAGCCTCAACACTATTGTATGAGCTTAATAGCAAACAGTGTTCATTTCAAGCACAATAGACTACCACTGACCCATAGAAAACCAAAACCAGGGATTTAATCAGATGTTCAAAGGAAACTTCATTTGAATTCCATTTGGATTCAAGAAGCAAAAATGTAATACAGTATAATATACTACAGTTGCTAGCGCTAGTACACTATCAAAGATTATATTATACATGGCCGGCATTCACTTGTGAAAAAAAGTAATAAATGTGCTTATTGTAGAGTACTTCTATTAAAAGTATATTTAAAAAATGTAATATTAATTAAATAAAAGGCCACGTATGCATACTTTGTAATGTCACATTAAAAGTTATACTTTAAAGTATATTCTAAATGATTATGCTTTAAGTCATGCTTTAAAGTATACTTATTTTGATCACACGCAAAGTACTTTCAACTGTAGTGTGCTATTCAATAATATATTTGAAAATGTAATAAAATGGCAACTTCATCATTTGTAATTTAAATACATGACATACAAGGGTCTTTAGAACTGACGTTAAAGTATATTTTAGTTTACCAAAAACTTGCATTGAACCTCTATTCGTGTAGTGAACGTCTTTCAAGCACACTCAATTTGTAGCCATTCCTGTGAAACAGTCTGTAATTTGCCAATTACAAACCTACAGTATAAACAAAACAAAAAAGTGAATACTAGCTCATGCTAGCCCTTTAGCTTATATATTACAAGTGACAGGTGTTTCAAAATTAAATAAAACAATTTAGCTGCTTCTATGGCATAAAGGGAAGAAGAGCATGAACACTTCAGCTGTCAACAGCAGATATTAAGTCCAGGTTGGTCATGTGATCCAACACTGGCTTTAGGAGACCTGTAATAACCTCCTGGCTCAGTAGATGCAAACCCAGGCCAACCGCGTCAGACGGAGAGAGAAGGAATCCCTGTGTAGAAATATACTTTCGGATAATAAATATGTCTCTGTATTTGTAAGCAACTGGAGCGTGAATACGCCCAACCCTAAAAAGAAGCTAAACAGTTCCTTGCGTCTCTATTTGAGATCTTGGCTGGTCATGCTGCATTGAATTAAGGTTTTAAATAAATTATTGTAAACGAATGCTAATGAGAGGCTTCACAATGAAAAGACATTACTCTCTCATAAATCAGGAGTGTACAACGGCTCATCAGATTTGTCTCTTTGTGAGCCAGGTGAGCTCTAGCCACTTCACTATCTAGCATACTAATAACTCACACCTGGACACTTTCTGGCACCAGACATTGAGCTCTACAAACCTTACTCTAATACTAGCTTATTTTCTCAGAGGGACAAAGTGCTGTTTGCAGAAACCAGAGCACGTAAAGCCTGTTAAACAAAGACGGCACTTCTTTATGAACCGCCACACAGCAGTGAGGATATTCATTCAGTCTTAAAAAGGTTGCTATAGATCTTAGTCAGAGTAGGGACCAATTTCAGACAGTGAAGGACACAAGTCTGTTTTGTCTTAAGGCTCGTTCACACAAACTGATTTTTTTGCACGAGACGCTGCAAGAGACAAGACACGAGCGCAACGTTCATACACGTCCGTCTAGCGCATGTTTACATAGAAAAGCAATGGAAAAGTAGCACATTGAAATGGAAAAATGCGTTCTGTATGAACGGCCCCTGAAGGTCCTATAAAGAGTCTGATTTTCACAACCCTTTGTCATCCACTGGAAATATGTGGACAAGCATATACACTAGTGCCCAAAAGTGATGTCTGGCCTTGAAAAAATTGGCAAATTCACCCTTCATTGAAATATTATTAACAATTTATTTATTAATGCTTTTGTAATCATAGGAGTCAATTGTCTCACGTACGGCGTAGACAAGGTGTAACTAATTTAATGTATGCGCTGGGTGTTTCTGAGTAAAGTGATAAAGTAAATAAAAAGTCATTTTTATTTAGTGATGACAAATCACAATAAAAATGATTATAGTGATATTGATATATAAATCATAAAACATCTACAAAAATCACAGCAAACCTGGAGCTAAAAAACAAAACAAAAAAAACAATTGCAAATTTTTTCATCAAATGTCAAGACATGCTAAATTTGATCCAAAACAGTCAGCAATGGTGTCAGCAGGCAGTGACCATATTGTGTGACTCTGGCATGCTGGGAGATTGAAACAGTAAATATGTTCCAGCCAAACATGATGCAATAATGCCTTGTGTAGTTTTAACCTAAATTAAGTGAAAAATAAGTTGTTCAATTCATTTGAATTGCTATTTTGCTAAAGTGCTTCTCTGAAGAAACAAGATAAATGAGACCCTGCTGGCCCTCCAACTCCAACAAAACCACACTGATGTGATGTTAGACATAGGCAAAGCAGTACAAGGAAGTTATAGTCTCCACTAGCCGTCGGCCCCATATATATATATATATATTTATATAAATGAAATTATATCAAGTAAATTTAACCGACCCGGCCCCGGATAAGCGGAAGAAGATGGATGGATCAAGTAAATACCCTTTTTAAAATGCTACAGTATGGGGTCCCCTCTAATAAGTTCCATCAAATTTGAAAACTCACAGGGATAGTTTACCCAAAAATTTTTGATTCTGTCAACATTTACTCACCCTCAAGTTGTTCCAAACCTGTGTGAGTTTCTTTCATCTGTAAGATATTTTGTAGAATGCTGGTAACAAACAGTTGATGGTAGCCATTGACTGCCATTGTATTTTTTTCCATACTTTAGGGTGAGTGAATGATGACAGAATTTTCATTTTTGGGTGAACTATCCCTGTAACTGCAGGAGTAATGCTATACTATTTGCAAGGAAAATTAAAGTGCCAACTGGTGACAGCTGGCTGAAAATGCAGCTTTCAGACATCAAAGTGGGAACATCAGTGAAAGTGAGGAAAAGGCTTGCGGACGGTTCGAGCCAACACATCACTTAGCTCTCAGCACCCCTAGACGGCACATTCCCACAGCACTCACATTCCTGTTTGAAGGTGAAGTATTCTGTGAGGTGCCGACACTCGTGGTTGCCTCTGAGGAGAAAGAGGGTGTTGGTGTGGTTGATCTTCAATGTCCACAGGAACAGCACACACTAAAGACAGATAGAAAGAGAGATAGAGACATTTATAATCCCGAAGATACTTGACTATAAATGTCAGATGGAATAGTTATGCGAGGAAAATGAAGGTGAAGACCGGATGTCTTTTACATTAATAAACTGGGGAAAACATTCCTTTATTAATGCCTACAATACAATGTGAGGCCTCTTCATTCAAATAAGGGTGCAAAGGAATGTCTTTAATCATTATCATTGCATTTAAGGCAATCTGATAGTGTTTTCAATGCCCAATGGCAAGATTATGGCACAATCAGTGTCCTTTCACTGTGCTCAACAGATGGCCAAACGGGTGCATGAGGGACTGCAAAGGTGGGAGTGAGTGGTCACATGGTAATTATTCCCAATGATACTTTATTCTAAACAACAGGTTTGTTTGGTTCATTTTACACATCTAAAATTCACACTAAAGTATAGACTGTTTGGCAGCCGACAACACAAAACCTTGGCAATACAGTGCGTTCGAGTGAGATGCCTGATCTTCTGTACAGTACAGAGTACATGCACACAATCTTTATAGCCTAATTAAAATGATTCAAATGTATTTATCATCTACAGCCCCTCCCCATTTCATTTGCATGCAAAATCCCAGACACCACTCAACGTGGGGAGAACAGGACACCAAGGTAACCAAGGACGACAGGTGTGCATTTAAATGACATGTGAAATAATAGACACGGAGGAGGGTGCGAGAGGGGGGTGCGAGAGCCGGGACCGGAGCCTACGCAAGAGGAATAATGAGCTGAAAATTGCAGGTAATAGTGGCCATGTGATGGAGGACCTGAACGAAGGCTATTATTGCTGAGTGGCAGACGACACAGAGGGGAACCTGTTTTTTCCCTAAAGTTGACATGCTGCTTAAGGCTATCGCCTGGTTTAATAACTGGGATGGATCAGGATAGTCAACTAGATGGTCGATAAGTTTACTTAATTGTTGAAATTTTATATCTAAGTGTATATTCACCAAAAAAATGTAAGTCTTCAGACTTCAAGACTGTCAAACTCTCTGCTGTGAGAGACATGGGGTCAATAATAATAGTTTCACTGCATTAAAAAGGTCAATATTATAGATTTATTTAAATATTCATTTCAATATGCACAATAATAATAATAATACATTGATATATCAATATGAATATTGATATTAACATTACTATATTAACATTAACATATTAGAATTATCATATCAAAGCGAATATTGACAATTATATGAATAACTATTTAATAACTATTTATCATCAAATTGAAACTTACATATTTTGGCCGTATTATGATATAACTGCTTGGAATGATGGAATGGAAATGGAAGGATGACAAAAATGGTTGTACAGTATGTTGTTAAGAACAATATAAAGAGGAGTTTACTAAAGAATGCCATCAATGGCCGAGACAACTAGAGAAAGCATATCTAGAGGTTTCGAAAACTCACCGACACGTCAAATATGGAAATATGGAGATTTTTTACATCCCTTTTTAATAAGTGGGTTTTTTCTCTCTCTCAGACAAGACAAAAGGGCAGAGAGCTTTGTGCCAGACAAGTGGAGACTGAACAGTGTGATGGTGGGGCTGCTCACACCAAGACCTTCCACGTGTGTGTGTGTGTGTGTGTGGTGGCTGGTCATGGTGGTGGGACGCATTAATAATAGACGGATCTCGGATCAAAGGAAATAGCCCACCATAATGGAAGAGAAAGATGATGACAGGCTAAATGAAAAGGATTGCTCATACTTTTATGAGCAATTCTGAGCCCATTTTAGCACAGATATATAACCAGAGAGAACACATCCCGAGCATCCAGATAAATGTAAAGGCTTTATATCTTTAGCACAACAAATAAAGACACATCAGAAATTATGTTCAAAAGTTGGGATCAGTAAAACATTTTTTTTTGGAATAAAGTAACTTATTTAAAAAGGAAGAATTAAATTGATCTAAAGTGACAGTAAAGACATTTATAAAAAGATTTTCATTTTAAATAAATGCTATTCGTTTCAACTTTATATTCATCAAAGAATCATGTACAAAAAAAATATCAGGGTTTCAACAAAAACATTAAGCAGCAAAATATGACATATTTCTTATTTGAAATGTTTTCGTTCTTCGTCAAATCAACATTAGAATGATTTCTGATGGATCATGTGAATAGCATAATGGCTGCTGAAAAATCAGCTTTGCCATCACAGGAATTACAAAAAAGAAAAACAGTTATTTTAAATTGCAATATTTTTTCACAATATCATGCTTTTACTGTATTTTGTATTACTGTATACTGCTTTGGTATAAGCATTTTATTTATTTATTTGAGCATAAGAGACTTCAAAAAATCTTTTCTGAGCCCAAACTTTAAACAGGAGTACACACACACACACACACAATTGTATTGAGCAGAGCTCAATTTTATTCAAATGAATAAACTCATTATTGAACTCATTTTAATAAAGTTCGACTCTGCTCTTCTCTAGCGGTACCTATCGCTCATGTCACCTGAAATCACCAAATTTCACTGAAAATTAACAACTGCATGCAAGTCACTGTGTGTGAGCGACCCTTAGGAATGTCAAGTTAATGAACTCTTCACAGGATCAAAGTGTGAGGCGTCAGTAACATCAGTGATTCGGCGGAGAATCGCGACAAGCAGAGCGGTCCACGCTTTAATGCTCTATGACTCATGTCTTATGAAAGGGTACAGTGTCTGACAGGTTATCAAATAGCTCCACTCAGACAGTGACACGTCCAAATGAGACAGACAGAAAGAGAGGCCATTTAACCACACAGCTTAACAAGGTCTCTGATACTTTTGTTCTGTATTCTAAATCATTCACAGCTCCTGCACTCACCAAACCTAATCAAAGTAGAGGCTTGAGGAAACTGGAAGATTCAAAGTGGACCGTTTTACATTACGCAATGCAACTTTGGTTAGCTAACTAGTATATCAGGGCTTCAGACTTTTTTTTCCTGCCGGTGCGACTAAATTTTGTTAGAGGTCGGACTGGTTGCCCAACTGATAAGAGCTGCCATTTCTGTTGAATATGTGAAACATCAAACTAAACGAAAGAGCGCTACTTGTTTGAGCTGCGCAGCACGGACCGTTTATCAGCTCGGAACAATAATAGACAGAGCAACGCGAGCTCAGAACAGGTTTACTGGCGGGCCGATCTCGAGCAAGCGGCACCGTTACTACAGCGTTTGAATTTGCCACAGAATTAATAACATCGCTGCGAAATCTAGTGAGAAGAATTCAAATTCAGCACACAATTCTCTGTTATAAACCATATATAGCTATCAGATCAAACAGCTCCGACACCAGGAGACATTGTGCCATGAACAAACAAGTTATAGAAGGCTTTTCAGGCCACAAATCACCAACATTCACCATGGATTAAAAGTAGTAATGCAAACTGTAGCCATGGTATTGTGGCAGAAACAGTTAAATATGTTTTAACATTATTCATTTCAGGCTTCTTGCAAACTTTTACGAGAGAAATTCAAGAACTTTTTAAAGTGCTTCACACTTTTTTCCAGCACTTTAAAGCTCTAAATATGATCCAATTTAAATGTTATTGTTAATGTGATGAACAAAAACATGATTTTTTTTTTTTCATCCTTCAAAGACTGTCTCCATTTGTAAAAAATAAAAGTTGTAGGAAAACACTTTGTGGCAAACAAACTTTTATTTAAAAATAGAAAAAGACATGAAATTCCCACTATAACCAGTAGTGGTATAAGCAGAGGAGCACTTGTTGGCTTTTTGGCCATTTTTACTCACTAATATATATATATATATATTCACAAGTTTTGCTTTTGCATTTATATTTAGACATTAAATCACGATTATAAAATATCAAATCATCAATAATCAATTAAAAATATTTGCACTGAAATTCTCATGAAAAAAAAACATTCAAATTGCAACTGAATTCTACAGAAAGCAAGTAGAAAGTGCTCCTTTTATAATCACTGAAGCTGTCAGTCAGATCAGTATGATACAATAGAAGAACAATGGTACATTTAATAAGAGAAGAATATTTACAAATTTCCCTATAAAATGTGGTTTTTGCACGTTACTGTTGTTAATAAAAGTAAATTTTACTTCTCAATTTTCTGCATCTCAACTCAAGCTCAGTCCTTTATGGTCAATTGTGCATTTCCAAGAAATAAACGGAATGTTATTTGAAACTGCACTTATTAATGCAAAACAATGGTAATTTTATGATTAAATTACCTTTATGATTATGAATTCCCCCAGCGCTTAGTGGCACTGGTGCTTCTGATCTCAAATGTTTGTCTGGAGCCCTGTATATTATATAATTATATTGTTTAATAATAATAATAATTAATATTATCGGTATTAGTAGTAGTATTTAAAAAATTAAAAATAAGCACACATATAAAAATAAACCACCTTGTTCACTTCAACTCAGCTCTTTTTACTTGATCTCATCAGTGTTTTATAAGCATGCACAGCTGTAAGTCAACATTAAAGCATGGGAAATCATAATACAGTGTCATATCAGAGCATCCGAGGATAACAGATTATTCAAAGTCAGGAAACGACTAAAAACTATTGTTGTCCAACAAATCTTTAATGGAAATACTATGGCATAATCCGCTTTGCTTTTTGCTACTCTTTTGTGCTTATGTGTGGTAGTTAATGCGCTGTTGGTAATGTGGCAGTGTGGTCATTGATAATGCCTTAACAGATGGTTCAGAGAAGATGTCAGACTCTCAGCCAAGTAAAAAAGAGCCAGGCCATGCACGCAAATACAGTCCCCACTGGTATATGCACAGATACCTAAATACTTTGAGTGTCAGGCAAAAACACTGGCGTTAGCATAAATATATGGTTAGGGTTAAGACACAGTGTGCATAGAGTGAGTAAGAGAGGCAGAATAAGACTCACTTGAGGAATGCCCAGATGAAATCTGACTTTTATTTTGTTTTTCTGCACTGGCACACTGTCAGTAAGATTTTTTTCCACAAAGAAATGAATACTTTTATTCAGCATGGATTCATTAAATTGACCAAAAGCACCAGTAAAGACATTTATAATGTTACAAAACATTTTTAATTCAAATAAATGCAGTTCTTTTGAAGTTTTTATTAATCAAAGAATATTGAAAAAAAAATGTATCTTGGTTTCCACAAAAATATTAACTGACACGCTGTTTTCAATATTTATGATAATAATGAATGTTTCTTGAGCACCAAATCAACATATTATTATGATTTATGAAGAATCATGTGACACTGAAGACTGGAGAATTCAGCTCTGCCATCACAGACATGAATTACATGTTCAAATAGAAACAAGTTATTTTGTCACAATATCACTGTTTTTGTTTTGTTTTTATCAAATGAATACATCCTTAGTGAGCATATTAAGAAACTTCATTCAAAATCATTAAATGAAAATCAAAAGCTTTAGGACCCGCATTTCAATAAAGCTTTCCAGGGCTGGAGAGACCCAAGCGGGAAGGCCTGAAAACAGACGCTGAAGTTGCGTCGTTTCTGCTCCATACAGGAGAAACATTTGTTTTGCTGTTTCACAGAACAACCTGTTGTTGATATGTTAGCTATCGTAACAGGACAGTTTTGAGTGTCATTGTTTGTCTGGAACTGGTGTGCTGCTGGCGACTAACAACAAACTCTTGCTTGTATATACTTTTGTTTTTGTTCTTCCTTGTCGTTTGTTCATCATCTTTGCTTTATTTTTCATTAAGTGTTATTTTGCTTTGCTTCTGCTATGATAAAGAGACATCCACTCTTACATTCCGTGTTTGTGCATTTTAGGGGGGGGGGGGGGGGAGCAATGAAGGGAGAGGTGTGTTTCTTTGGGTTGGTATCAAATATCAACAGTGTTTCTCAGAAATGCTTACTGCACCTATAAATGAAGCTGAGACTACTACACTTCTATTGGTAGCTAAAAAGCATGACCGAATTAGCCTAAATATTGAAAAAACAAACACACTAAGGGTGGAGGACGTGTAGAACTCTGCGAATTAAAGGCATTCCAGTGAAAATCTGTCAATCCAATTTCTGCAGGTGCAGATTCTGTGTGAGCTTCTCATTCTAGATGATTTCCGTCCATAAACATGCACTCACCTCAATACTGAAGTATCCTCTGTCTACATAATCGCCCAGGAACAGATAGCGCGTGTTGTCAGGGGAACCACCAACTTCGAACAGCTTCATGAGGTCGAAGAACTGTCCGTGAACATCACCACATACTACAGGTGAAAAGGAAGCAAAGACAAATGCTTGACATGGTACATGTTCAGTGAGCGATACATAACACCTGCCTCGTTTTGAGTTCAATGGCAATGGTTAAAACAAAGCAGTATACGTTTTTCTGTATCACATCACATGAAAAAATGCCTTAGGGAAGTGTAGGACTGGATATAGAGAAAACACTTCACTTAAATCCATCCTACCTGCATAATCTAGCCAGCAACGGCCACATGTACAAGACTGCTCTGTCACTTAGCAACAACGACACTATATCTGAAAAATACAGAGGCTGCATCCATTTATAAAACAGAATGTATCTAGAGCCAGAGGGGTTTGTGACATCTATTAATTCGTGCTCAACGACGGCAATATCTATAGAGGACAGATGAGCTCTGATTTATCTGCATTATGAAATATCATGGCATGATGCACACAATGTTTCCAAGAATGAAACCTTGAAGCATAATATCTTAATCAAGTAATTGAGTAAGATTAATAGGCTCTGTTTGTCACTGATGAGACTGAACTGAATGTAAGATTACCCAGATGTGATACAGATAGTGATTCTACTGTTAAATCTGTACATTACCATTCCATCTATCTGTCAAATAAAAGCAGCAAAACCCATAACTAATTTCCTTTTATGCATTTTCTCATTGATCAGAGTCACTACGGATGGATCAAAGTGGTTGACTTGTCTAACAACTGACTAGCCAATTAGTGAGCTTGACTAATTTATAAAGCCTAGATTTTCCCTTTTTTATTTTTAGTGGCTTTGATTAGTGCACTCGTAAAATCATTGTGCACACAGTAAAAAGTTTAAATTCATCATATTTAAACCAACATAGTTACAGTCATGCACATTTATTTTAAGGACGCATCAATGCTGAAATTATGGGAAATTATGATAATTATTTTTTATGTTATGGCCAATAACTGATAAATTACAAATAACATTTGTTTCCTAAAAATAATAATAAAATAATAATAATAAAGATAAAAAATAAAGTCAAGTTTTAAAAGGGCATGACAGCATTATAATGTAGCCTGTATGTATTATCAGTGTTTTTAAAGATTAATTAACTTGAAGTGAGCGTTAGATGACAACAAAGGTAACCTGTATGCCAAATAGGGGTAACAAACATGCATAATTGAATATCAAATATTGCTGTACCGATAAATTTAACTCTTTCCCTGCCATTGACGAGTTAACTCGTCATTTATGAGCAAAAGCTTCCCTGCCAATGACACATTTATATGGCTTTCCGTGTTATCACTGTTATAAGGTAGGGGTCTCTTAAAGCATTTCCTGAACGAGTATAATATCTCCAGATCAAAACACAGGCAAAATAGAAGCAGAAACGAACAATCTCATATGTAAGCAGATGCATATGAAAAATAATGCGATAATCAACAATAAACAGCATGTGTAGGAAGTGCAATAGGACTGTGCAAGCTTTGTGGGTGTTGAGGGACACGATATACTCCATCTATGTTTTGATCATCGCACTAAACAGTGTTGGGAAGGTTACTTTGGAAATGTAATAGGTTACAGATTAGAAGTTACCCTATTTAAAATGTAATAAGTAGTGTAACTATTACTATTTATTAAAGAAATGTAACTATAAATTTCTAATGAATGTTTTCAACTGTTAATCCTAAATCAAGTAGGGTTAACCTTACTCAACACTGATTACTGTCAAACTTTCAAAATCCTTCATCACTTGAATTAAGATTATAACAATTTAATTTTAAAGTACAGCCACCACAAAAACAGACTTTAGCACCTCTTTTTAGTTTGAGATCATTCTGAGGTTAAATACAGATTTCTGGATGAAAAGATTTTTCAATTTCCCACTGGAATGCATTTTTCTCGCCATGGTGGCAACTCTCAGACAGGTTGTAGCCAAAAGCTTTCAGCGGCAATGTGGATTGATGTAATTAGCAGATGTGGTGCACTGCAAAATTCAAACAAGAGAATCAATCAAAAGCATCAGAATAGCATTGCTTTACTAAACAGCAGGAGACATCGTGCACATCAAAAACAGGCAAAGCAACACATTTATATTATTCAACATAGCTTTTTACAGAAAATATTCAGATGTAACCCCCTTTGTAATCGTTAACATAAGTAACTGTAATTTAATAACATTTTTTCTCAGTAACTGATTACAGTTTGTAATTATTTTGTAATTAAATTACGTAACTCTGTTACATGTAACTAGTTACTCCCCAACACTGGTACTGAATCAGATCCAAGCGCAGTCTTTGACAAAAACACGATTTTATCAGCTTTTTGCTTAAAATGTTGCTTTCGTTATGAAACTTACCCATATTCAAGTGTTGGTAAAGAATTGTTTTAAAGCAAAATTGTAAATTGTTTTTTTTTTTAAGTTCTTTCTTTTGATATATTGCATGTTCAGATATTCATACAACTAAATATTCTGGGGGCCATGACATTTTTGTGAAAATGACCAAAAACACTGGTGCTGGTTAGCGCTTTTATAAAAAAAATTTTTTTAAAACACTGACGTGGAAAGAGTTAAAAATCTCTAATATCAGCAGAAAACACATATAAATTATGCATCCCTACTTTGTTCAATTGTAAAGAGGAATATATACAGTAGATGGGAAAGTAGCATCCTGAATTTCCAATCAAGGGCCAGGAGCTCTCAAAACCAGACTAAATTTACAGATCTTCCTTAAGGGGAGTTTGTCATTCAGGTAACCCTCCATTTAGTTGATTCGTTTTTGCACATCCCTCCTAGTGTTCACTAAAGCAAAACTGACCACAATCCGCAGCAGAATCTGTGACTGCTTCCTGTGTTGCGCTCCGCTGATCTGCAGACAATATCTGTCAGTGAGAACCAACGGCACTGACACTGATCTACATACGAGTCAGTTTGCCACAGCTGATTCACCACAGTGACAGTTTGTAACACTCAATCTCTGCAACGAACTCAAAAGCAATGCCGATATGATGTGCCCGATGAAAACTGTTTTCACAGATGGATTATAAGCCTACTTGAAAAGTTACTTATCAACCAGACTAATAGTTTTATGATGTATTATTTTATTGTTGGCAAAATGTACACACACTGATGCCAGTGAAGTGTAATTATGAATATATTTGAAACATTGCATGAAGTTTCCATGAGGAAAAGGGGGGGGTTGGGGGGGGCATTTTTCTTAGTAACTAGGTTAGGCCACAGCAGAAAAAAAAAAAAAAAGAAAAACACAAGCCAGAACAAAGTTCACTCCAATCAAGACAGATGGTCATCTCCCTCAAGCCCTACTAAAGATATGCACTTGCTTTCTTACCAGTGATTGGTGCCTCCACTTCTACCATGCACTTCTCCTGCCGTAGGATGTTGGCACCGTCGTTTATGATGCGCAGCGCAACTTCCTCCTCCACACGTCCCTCTTTGAGCAAATGGTTCTTCAGTACCTCGGGATTGGGCTTGCCATCCACAAATAGGTCCTTTATTGTCAGCCGCTGGTGAGGGGGCAGTGGCACTGCTGTAGGTACAAGAAGAGAAAAATATCAGTCTTTTCAGCATTAACTAAGTAGCTGCAAGTATGGAAATAATAGACATAATAATAGACATACACTACTGTTATAAAGTCTGGGCTCAGAAATTTTGAAATTTAGGGCTTTTTGAAAGTCTGTTATGCTTGCCAAGGCTACATTTATTTGATAAAATATATTTTTTTTATACATTTTAAAAAGCATTTCCTCTGATGCCATTACTCCAGTCTTCCATGTCATGATCCTTCTAATATGCTGATTTGGTGCTCAAGAAACATTTCTAATAATTATTAAATCCAAACAACCACCGATACATTCAACCAAGTATCCGCCAAACATCTTTTCTTTTTCAGTTACAATAAGATGTACATCACAACACGGAAGAAAAGATCTGTTGCTACATTCATTTCATCACAACTTGGGACTATATTTAATATATATATATATTAGGGCTGTCAAATGATTAATCACGATTAATCACATCCAAAATAAAAGTTTTTTTTACATAATATATGTGGGTGCACTGTGTATAATTATTTTGTATATATATAAATACACACACATGCATGTATATTTAAGAAAAATATATAATTTATAAATAAAATATTTATATTTATATATAATATAAATTATATATAAATCTATATACAGTATATACATGAAAATATTTCTTAAATATATCCAAGCATGTGTGTGTATTTATATATATAAAATAATTATACACAATGCACCCACATATATTATGTAAAAAAACCTTTTATTTTGGATGTGATTAATCGTGATTAATCATTTGACAGCCCTAATATATATATATATAAAATTTAAAATATATTTCTTTACATAGTTTTAATTATTCAATTGATAATTTTTTTCCAACATTTTGTTTTACTTTATATCCAATACAAATAAACAAATAACAGTTAAATGTAATCTTTAGCAAATCTCAAGGTAAATATTTATTACCGACCGTTATGATGCTAAATTGACTTTTTAGCATTTAAAACGAAGGATTAGTTTAAATTCTTTTAAGACAAAATACTATTTTATATTATTATTAGCCATTTATCAGTTACCAGTCATACCAAGAAAATAATAATACACTTATCGGTTCATCCTGCATCGCACATATTTGTTGATGAAAAAAATGTTAAGTGACTCTCGCTCCCAAAGATGCATCTAAAAAAAAAAAAAAAAAAGGCCGTGGACGGTGTATTTTCAGATCTGCTCTTTATTAGTTGTGCTGCTCTCTGCATTATCATGACATTTGCCGCTGCTGGGGTTAATAAGAAAAGTTATGGTATCACGAGGATTCTATTGATTCAGCTCTCAGGTTTAACCTTCACAGACGTGAAAGGATCCCGAGATGTCACGCAATAATCCCTCACCTGCACTGAACTGCCGGGTAATCTAACTCCTCCAAATCCCTCTGCGAAAGTGCAGAAGTTGGCATAGAGAGGGCTGAGGCTCAAGGCGTGTTTAATAATGAGATGGGAGTTTTAAATGATTCAAGGTTCCTTGTGATGTAAACAGATGTTTTAGCATCGATATGCATCGATTTATCAAAAGCATCATACAATATCGTGCTAATATCGGCCTTTTGTGTCTGTACCTTCGGAAGAGTTCATTATTGAATGAAGTGATGAGCATGTCTGAGGTTCTCAAAACACTATGAAGAAAACAGGAAGCTGTGTGAACTGCCAAGGGCCCCTGGCACAGCGTTTTCCCCCAGTCTATCACAAAAGCCAGGGTTGACGGCGCTGCTACTTCCACTGCGACCTCATTTGCATGCATCCGCCAGTGTGTTTTGGCTGCTCAGCCTCCGGCTCTGAATGTCTGCTTGATCGATAGCCAGTAAGAGCCCATATGTTATGGAGGAAGTCAGAGTTGATCGTAATGTTATGGAAAGGCGGCTACAAACTACGGTGTGATTGCTGAGGCCGAGGGACATGTAACTAAAGGGAAAGCATTCAGAGGGAACAAGCAGCTGTCGAGCGGTACCGCGAAGTGCGCCGAGTCAGACTTTGACAACGCTCCCGTTAATCTGGCGGTTCTATTAAACGTGCCCAGAATGCAAGAGCTAATGATGTCTTGAGCCTTCAACCATTAGGGATTCAAATCAAGCCACTGGATCCCACAACAATTCAGCAGCGTATCTGTACAAAGAGACTGAAACTGAGGCAATAGCCTCATTAAAAAGATGTCAAGGAGTCAAACTTTTTCTGTTCACAGACAAAAATTCCCAGCATGGATCTCTTCATATGGCCAAAGTTCAGCCTCTTTGATTTCTATATTTCTATGATGAAGCTTCACCCTGAGGTCTCACTACATGACATCATTTCTGACAAATATAAATACATTCTGATTAGGGTTTTTTGCCTTTTGTTAAATTAAATTCTGAGCAGCTACTGTTTTTATTTCAGTGACTGACAATGGGATCAATGCAATTTGTTTTCAAACTTTTTGACCCTCAAATACAATGGTCTTGTCAGGGACACATTTACTAAAATATAATGACAGCTTTATATGTTCATTTACAAAGACAGATTGAGTGTGGAAAAGAATGAAAAATAATATTATAAAGACAACATCTTTCTACGCACTGTTAAGTTAAGTTAAGGTCAGTAAGGATTTTTTTATGTTTTTTTTAAATAAGTGCTCAACAAGCCTGCATTTATTTGATTAAAAATACAGTAAAAAGAGTGATACTGTGAATTATTATTACAATGTAATAACTTTTTTCTATTTAAAGTGTCATTTATTCCTGTGGTTGCCAGATACATTTTCAGCCGCAGTCTTCAGTGTCACATGATCCTTCAGAAATCATTCTAATGTCGATTTGCAGCTCAAGAAACATTTATTATAATTATCAATGTTGAAAACGACTGTGCTGCCTAATATGTTTGTGGAAACCGCGATACATTTTTGTAAGGATTCTTTGATGAATAGAAAGTTATTTTGATGAATAGAACAGCAATTACTTTATTTAAATGTAATTACACATTCATATTCTTTCTTTTACTGTCAGTTTGATAAATGTTTTTAATGTCATTATGATCATTTAATGTGTCCATGCTGAATAAAAGTATTCATTTTCTTTAAAAATAATAAATTAAATAAAAACCTTTCTGACCCCAAACTTTTGAATAATATTTAAAAACTAGGGCTGTCAACTTAATAAAACAAAATGATTAATATAATGATTTCCAAAATAAGATTTAACATGTAATAATAATACATTTTCTATGTCTAAAAACAATATTGTGTTTCCTTAATCTAAACGTATTTGATCCCCAAAGTTTGAAAACCCTTGTATGAAAATATGAAGTAAAAGTTGAGCCATAATATAAGAAAGTTATGGGATCTCATTTAATTTTAATGTATTGTTGCTTTGCTTTGGATAGAACTGTCTGCCAAAGGCATGAATTGTAAATTGAGAACTCAATACATGTTATTTGAGAAGAAATGATGACTGAATACTATGGTAAAAGACAATCTAACACTCTCGCTTTGGGAATAAAGACATAACCCAAACATTTCAATCATTATGATATCCTCGGGAGTGAGAATGATGGCTCCGACAGCTTAAAAAAAAAGAAAGACATGACTCATGAGCGCATGGCTGAACAGGGTTGTTCTTTGCAGAACACAGCAGATCAGTTGGCCCCAATAAATAAAAAACGCAGTAAGGAGATAATATGTAAAGAGGGGCGAGTGCGAACAATTCCACCACACCAGAGTTGAGGACTTGAAAAATGTGAGCTCATTGTCATAAGGACATAAACAAACATTATCTATACTCTGACTGTTGAGAAGTATAAATAAACTGTAAGCAGCACTGGGTCCACAACACAGGCTGGGAATAGGGACGGTAAGCTGGGTACCAGCACTAAGAACAGATTAGGTAAAGCCTTTATTAGCCAGGGATTCCAGGTTCAGAGTCTGTTTATTTAGGGACTCCTCCTACTCTTTATAAAAAATAAAAATAAAAAAAAAGGTTCTTTATTGGCATCAATGGTTCCATGAAGAACCTTTATAGTCCCCATGCATTCAAAATTGAAGTTTTTGGGGTTTTAGTATGAATATGTTAGCCTTACTGTTATCTATAAGCTAGTGTGCTAGAAGATATTCAAAACTTAGTCTCTCACTTCCGCCAATATGGATCAATGATTATGATGGCAACACTCTGCACGTCTTCAGATTTTCCGTCCAATAAAATGCTCTCTAGAATCTAAAGCGTCCCACCCCCTACACTTTAAAAAAATAGACGCTGAAGCTGCGGCTAAAATGGGTCACTTGTTCACACATTTACTATTTTCTACATGGTGAATGTGCACTATATATAGGGGGATACAGAGTGATTCAGACGGTGTAAATATGCTTTTCATCGGGACGAATGAAGTCTGGTTTCATGTTAGTGTCGCAAACCGCTAGCCTGGGAAAACCCAGACAACTTCCGGCAAATTTAGATTTGCTCTGAAAGTTAGTCTGGCAAAGAGCTCATTCAAGCCCATTTCCAATCCGTCGAAATCGAGGCACCAATCAGAAACGTTGGGGCGGGCTTTACACGATGAAGACAGCGCTGGGATTTTGAAGCAGATTTTGTAGCCTACATTACAAAGATGGATGCCGCCGTCGAACATCACTCGTTCGAATCAGCTATCGCGTCTGTTTTAAGCGATTTGAACGTTTCTTTTTTGTTAAAAACCGAGCAAAGAACAACACTCGGAGATGTTTCTGCCACTCTGCATACGTCATCTCCTTCATCGCTCTGATTGGTTTTAGGTCTAGGCCTATCCGCGACGTCCGTTGGTGACGCCCCTCTGGAAATGATTTGTCTATGACGCTTTGCCAGACCATAACTCAGTTACAACTGAGAATGGTCTGGTTTTAACCAGGCTAACAAACCGCCGCAACGCGCACACAGTTTGCTCCGGTCCAGAGACACCATAGCACAGAGCGGATCATATTTGCAAGTCGCCACATACCACAAATCCATTTGATTCTACACAGAATGCTATATTTTAAAGCGATATTGAGGAGATTAAGAGGAAAACCGGTTAGAGATTAAGACGAAACTGGTTTAAGAAGAAACGGGTCTGGCCGAGCTGTAATATAAGCTAAACGCTATTGGTTATTTAAAAAAGGGGGAGGAGCTGTTCGATAAGTCCCACCCCGTCTTCCTGTTTCAGTGAAAATTACGTCAACACGTTGAATAATGCTGCACGTTTCAAGGCACTTCAGTGGGCCTTTAACATCCATGAAACCGTTTCACTGCACAAAAAGTTCCTTGTAGTGGAAAAAGTTTATTTAGGTTATTAAAATGATTTTTTACACTAAGAAACACACTGTTCACTACCTCTTTTCCACCAGAATAATTCGCATTCTGGAACCAGAGCCTGTTCTCGGCCAGGTGAATTGGAGCCTGTCGCGAACTGGCCCAGTGTTTCCACAGACTTGAGGAATGAATGGTAATGTGACGATGCTACATGTTTTTTTTAACAGACTAAACAGTCTAAAATCAAACAGTGCACGTCCTGGTGTTTGTGCAGGCAGTGCGGCACTACTGTTCTGCTGGTACTATCAGCTGTCATTTTTGGAGATATATTGAACTGAAAGCGTTAATTCACTCGCTCTCTCGCACGCAACATTATTACATTGCTCAACGAGACTGCCGTAGACAGCAACAGCATTACACCACCCCCGCTCCCCGGCTCCGTTCTAAACCAGCAAGTATTTAGGGCTGGAGTTGAACCAATCTTTCTGGCCCGGAAACCCCATTTTCTGCAGTGAAAATGCACGGAAAGGTTTGAGAACGGTCAAAGGCTGGGAACCTCTACCGGAACCATGTCTGTGGAAAAAGGGTATGAAAGGTTCTTTGGAGAACCCAAAATGTTCCTTCTATGACATCATCACTGCAAAAAAAAAAAAAAACTTTTAGAAGCTTTGTTTTTAAGAGTGCGCTGCAAAAAAGATCTTGACTCTAAAGCTCAAAAGAGAGAATGAGGGTTAAGGCTGAAGTGGAGCGGCATCAACACATTTATGCTACATTACAACATTCTGTAAGGTGCTTTAAACTTTCTTTGAACACAAATTCAGTGAGTGCACCAATCATTTTAACATTTTCACAGATTCTAAACAGACAAAGCTACATATGTGGAGAGAAGGGTCTCACACACAGATCCTCAATAGTTTTAAACATTTGAATATGGCACAGTTCTGAACCAAACGCTTTGCATTTCAGTCTCACCATGGACAGGCTCTGCCTTCAGGATAACATTCGTGCCATGCAGATTCAGGGCTTTTCCAGCTCAGCATACATCTAGACACTAGGCAGGCTACAAGTGTTCACTCAAAACCTGGACATTTGAAAGGCAAATTGGCTCCTGTGCTGACCAACTAATGTGCTATTAGTGGGTCTCAAATTTTCTTGCTTCTCAAACCAACAAAATAATAATTTCAAACCCATATGTACGTGTGAAGCAAAGACACATATTCGACAGACCAGTAACATGGAGAATAGAAACTTAAGACAACATTTTAGCTTCTGTGACAATATTTTTATGTGACTCAAATATAAGCAGCAAATGCCCATGGAAAGGGCACAGGTCTGATGTTAGTGAGCACAGATGTCTTATCAAATGTAGTTTGGCCAGGTTAAACTGGTTTGACCTTTTTGGGTAAACTTACCAAAATGAAGCATGAATACAGTGAGTTTTATTTAGATCATTATTGTTAAAAAGGAAAAATTATTTTGTTTTCCTTCGCAATATTTTCCAGAAACCCACAGATGGATCAAACTGAAAAATCTGTCTAAAATCTGTTTCGAATTAAAAAGTGTTCAATAGAGTTGTTTCAGTATAACTAGCATGTCATAACCTACGGTTTGACAGATGAAACAGGATTTCATTTTTCACAAAAAATGAAAACAAAATTGAGTGATAGGTGTAAAGTCTGTTCAACAGGTTGTAAAGTTTTTAACTTTGATTGTTCAGTTGACGACGCAACACTGGAAATATGTCTTTGCAAACAAAAAAAATCCACAAACCTCTGGAAAAGTGTTTTGAAAATTATTCTACAGTGTTGCACAAGTTCATTTTTATTCACAAAATATTTTTAAAAACCCAATAATTTTTAATAACTATTAAATATCAATATGAAAAAAAAAGAACCCTGGCTAGGGTCTATTGCTTGTAAAACATTAGCTCATAAACCTAGAGGAGATTTGTGTCTTGATTTTAAAACCCACTATTTCATTCTAATTCGCATGGTGTTCACAAGGAAAATTCTCAAAGCTGATCCAAGTAGGTAATATGAAGCATGTGTGTTTCAATTTACTCCATATTATTTATACCACAAATAATGATAAGCTCCTGCTAAGACTGGCAGCACATTGCTGAATATTAAGATGAGGTTTGCTTTACACAAGTCACCTGAGATGAGAAAAAAGATAACCATAATGCAATGATTCTGACTTCATCCACCAGACAGAAATACCCATATTTTATATGTATGGGTCACTCTCTGAGCTTTGCGGTTACATTCTTGGTCGATCTTCAAAACAACCACAGCTTTATCCAGGCAGTTTTAAGCTACAGTGAATACTAAATGCTTTGATGAGCAATTTGATTGATTAAAGTTGAAAAGCAATTACCTGTATTGCAATTATCTTATGGATCAAATGGATAGATAATCTTAAATGGATTGTTACCCAAGAATGAAAATGTTGTCATAATTTACTCACCCTCATGTTGTTCCAAATCTATATGAGTGTTTCTTCTGTTGAACAAAAAAAGAAGATATTTTAAAGAATGTTGGTAACCAGACAGTTGACGACACTCATTGACTTCCATAGTAGGAAAAAAATACTATGGAATTCGATGGCTACCGTCAACTGTTTGATTACCAACATTGCTTAACATTTCTTCCTATGTGTTCAACAGAAGAAAGAAACTCATAACGTTACAGGTTTGGAACATCATGAGGGTGAAAAAATGATGACAATTTTATTTGTATTTGGGGGGGGGGGTATCCCTTTAATCTATTTGAAAGCACTGATACACATATATACACACACACACACACACACTCGAGCCAAGACTACAAAATATTCTTAATTCAGTTTATTGGCATATTTTCATTAACTAGAGTTTGAGAGTTCTTTCAATTTCTCTCCCCAACAAAAGCCCCGAGATAGCTGTCAAGAAATGATTCGGATGAATCAAATGAATGCTGAATCAAGTGATTCACCAAAATACCACAGCGGTAAATCTATTAGAAATAACTGTAACTAACTAAGTTAGCTGTCTAGCCTTCATGAAACACAAACTTACTTTTAACGATTCGCTCAGTTGTCGACAGCTGATCTTTCGGCTCTTTAGTCGACATCTTCTCACAGTTCAGTCAGGATTTATTAGCCAGTAAATGAACAAAGATATTCTCCGTGTTTGTTGGTGCCAGTCCGAGGAAGAAGAGATCGCAAAGTGGCCAGCGACTCCGATGGGTCCGAGAACTGTTCAAATTCAGACAAACGGGCAGGTTTAACGCTCTAACACAGCTAATTTAGCCAACACTGAACAACAGTTGGTTACATGGGTCACGGGGCAGTAACGTATAATAACATCGCCAGCACACACACACCGACTCGGTCGCTTCTCCTCCTCGCTGACAGAAATACAAATCACCGATCCCGGTCTTGGTGTTTTCCTGCTGACATTAACCTAACTAGCTATCAGCCTTTCTCTATAAGATTTCTTGGGCTCGTAGCAACGGGAGCCAGCGACACAAGATGATTAGGGTTTGGTGCGCAATCTTGAACGTTAATCCGATTTTCCACTTTTCAGAGTCAGAATGTCAACTCGCCAGTCTAGCCACACACTCATAAAGAGAGTTCGGCATAATAATAACGTGCCGAACTGCGCCGATTTGTCTTAATAAACATATGTCTTGTCGTATGACAACAGAGATTGCGCGATCTACCCGCCCACTCGAGCTAACCATATGGCTAGCAGAAACTTCCAATCACACTCTCGTTCCCAGCTCCTCAGATTAAACGCTAATCTCTAAACCTCAGACGGATTTCCTGCAATATGGCGGAGCTGTGGCTCTCGACGCGATGGCGTCGGCGTGACGTAGCACGTAATATGAGACACGTGCGAAGCAGATGGTTAAATGGGTCGTGCTGGGGGTCCCTCAGAGCTGGATGTGGTCAGGGTGTTACTGAGGCGATGCTCTTGGGAGGAAAGCACAAAACTACAATGAGAAAGCAGTCCATTAAAGTTAATGTGATGTGTATGTGTACGCTTTAAACACATTATTGTAGGCCTATGGCAATTTTGAGGGGGTACAATCATTCATTTTTGTCAAGGATGTTCTTACTGGGTCACCATTATCATTTACATCATAATATACATTGTTCCTTTCTATTTTGTGTCATTCCTTGTGCTGCAAGCTTCAGGCCATGAATAGGCAACAAATTGTCAAACTAACATTTGCATTATGAATTCCGCTTTGTGTCAAAGGTAATTTAAACTGGTGATCACTACAGAATGATCACTAGTGATGATCACTTGCAGGGGCTCTCAAACCGTTATACCACAGAAAAATATTTGTAGAAAAGTGTTCATCTCTGATATGCTGTCAACTTAAAAGTAAATATTTTCCACATAATAATTTAAGTTTGTTTCAGTATAATGACAATGTAAATTATTTAATTTAGTTGTCTTATACTACATCTAATATTTTACTCACACAGTATAAATAGATTTTTATACATAACACCTGCATTAAGAGGGTCAATCTTAATTTTATGAAAGCAACTTATGTCAGATCATTATTTCAATCTAATAAACAGTATTTTGTTTTAGTTTTTGTTCTTTGATTAGCATAAAACTTCACCAGTAGCAACAGGCAAGTCCAAATTAAAAGTCCTGATTGGGTGCTACAGATCTGACTCCATTAAATGCCATTCGCTCATAAATCTTCAACAAATAAATTCACAAGAATCAGAATTAAAATCATGGAATGTTTCTCACCATTTTTTGGCATTCAATTTGGTTTTACCTCATATATATACATACATACTGAAATGATGTATAAACACTACATTTACTGTGTAAAATCAATGGGTCTCTTGGGCTGCAATTTACATTATTATTAATGTAAAAATAATTAATTTTGTCAGATCCCCCCCAATTATGTTAATAAAAAAATTGAGACAAGCAGCTTTGTCATAATTACAGCAAAAATACCAAAGATGTCACAGGTTAAGAACCACTGCTTTAGAGGAAATATGACAATACATTGTGTACTTGCATCCACAAGGGGGAGTCAAATTCTTTGATAGGGTCCATCAGATTTATCCATAGAGCTATATTGTAGAAGAAAAGAAAGAAAAGAACAAAGAAAAAGAATGTAACCTTCATTCCTGAATAAAATGCATGAAAAGGTTAAACTCACAGAAAAGTGATGTGATATCATTTATTATCTTTAAAATAGAGATGTCAGTTCCATTTCCAATGTCTACCTCTTTCAATAGACGATACCTAACAGAATAGACTGCGGATTTTACATTAGGAAAGTAAAAAAACACTATTTTAAATTGCCAGCAAAAGCATACAGCCAAGTTACCTTTTGCAAACCAAGCAATCATTATCATTATTTCTAAGACAAAGCAAGACCATGTCTATACATACAAACAAGCACAATTTTCAAGGGTGGAAACTGGTTTTTCCAGATGCTTGGCAAGCCTGTCATTGTACATAATGGTTTTCACAGATATTTAGTCAATGTCTACACATAATAACACAGCCTGATTCACGAGGAACCCAATTAATTCCACCTCTCGATCTGGTGCTCATCAGCATCAAGATAATAAAGCAGACACCCAAACCCGAGTCTGACAAACACGGAGTGATTTAATTCAAACAGAGCCTGCATACTAACATCATCTGGGTTCAGCTCATTAAATCAATGTAGCAGCACCGGAGATTAAGAGAGGACTTCACAAAAATGTTTTCCTCTTCCTGTTTCTATCATGTCAACTTCCTGAATTTGAGGCAACGTAATTATGGCTCTATACGTAAAACATATAAATTAGATATTTAGGTAAAGGACACTTGTAAGGATGTACCTGTGTAAACAGCATATATTTATAATATATCTATATATAAAAAAGGTGTATTCTGGGCATTAAGTAATTTGCTATAGAACGGGAAGGCAAAGAGGAATATGTAGCACAAAACACTCCTCACCACAGTGAACAAGTCCTCATCTTACCCATCATAGGCACAAAGTGACTATTTGAGACACATGAACATACTGGAAAAACCACAACATTACTACAAACAGATCCAGCGTGAAAACAAAAGGTATGGACTAAGGTAATACTACATATTTGGACAGAAAATATGTAACAGACCTGATGACACAGGTAAGTCCAATTTTACCAGTAAAGTTACAAGGTGTGGGGGGGGGGGGGGGGGAGCAAAAATAAAAAAAAGTTTAAATAAACGTAGCTATATTAGTTAAACATTAAATATCACTTATTATGAGGGGTTTATGGAAAAGGAAGCACATCTCCAATGAACATCTTTACACTAGATGGCAAAAATAAACAAGAAGGATTATGGTGTCTGATATAAACATTAAAATGGTAAATTATGCATAGAGCATCAGTTTAAGTATGCATGGTAATGTCAATACAAGCAAATATGCTTCAGAAATGTTCACACTTACATGATTAAAAATAACTCATTTGAGCATTTTTTTCCCCATGACACTACCGTTCACTCTCACTTTTTCCCAATTCTAGCCAACAAGCTCCCTACATCAGCACGAATTTGCTCGTATCAGAGATGCATTTAGGTCCTCTCTCCATTGTAGCTCTGATCACCCAATCTTATCCAAAACATTAGTACCAAATTTTCACCCACATTTAAACCAAAACCTCTACTAAATCACACGGTTTTACTGCTACCAGCCCAAAACTAGATCCACTGAAAAACAAATAACATCTTTGGCTGCAGGTCTGAGAAAACCCGGAGAGCAAAAAATTGTTTGATTCTTTCACCTAATAAAATCAGCACAGTCCGGTCTCGGTCTGTTTGCATAGGCATTACGTTTTTGTTAAAGCAGCTTTTTCAGGTATGAAATGTCTGAAGAGTGGTTGAACTGACATATTAGCATGACCTTGACAACGCAAACAGAATCTAACACATCAAACCTTGGCTCTTCATATCTGTCCAGCTGGCCTAACTGAAGCCCTGTTCTTGAACTTTGATGTCTTTATCATGTATGGGAGCACCTGAGGCTCATGTAAAATATCTTTACTTGATCTAACGCTGGTGAAGAGGGCCGAACGGGAACAGTACGACTCCATAACCAGGCATGACTAATCAAATACAAAAGTAGTCTAAAGTGCAAATTGAAAATCCTGTTGCAGATGCCCCATTGATTGCAGAAAAGTCTTGTTCATTTTACACATGACAAGACTCCCATCTTGGCGTACAATATTTTATAACATGCAGCTTGAAGGACCAACAAACGGCTTGAATGAATGTCCAGTGTGCATTTTGTTTCTCATCCACGGACTGTAATGTCCCACGCTCACTGCATGATGAAGCCTGGCTGGGGTGCCATGCGTGGAGAGGGTCTCTGGGGCACGGGTGGGGGGTATTGCTGCATGTACATGCTGGGGTATCCCTGGTTAAGAATGAGTGGTGTGTTTCCAGCTCTGGGGGGAATAGGGGGGTATGGAGTAGTGGGAGAGAACGGAGAGGTAGGAGAGTAGGAGACGGCTGTGGCGGGCTGGACAGCAGGAGTTTGAGTGACTTTAACAGGGGGAAGAGGAGGAGCCCGGCGGGGCAACGGCATAGGGGAACCATTGACCTCTCTATGGAGAACAGCTGGCCAGGAGGGAAGGTCCTGAGAGCGAGAGGGCTGAGGTGTAGCCGGAGCCATGTGGTGTCCTTTCAGCACCATTTCTTGGAGCTTCTCTATCTTGACTCTCCGCAGGTGTGCCAGCTGCCTCTTACTCTGATACTCATCAATGAATGTGTCCAGGGGGGCTGCACCATCGAGGAACGAATCGGCCATGTTCTGATTTGAAAAAAGGGGGGGGGGGAGAGAAAATAGCAATGATCATCATCTAATGAGTCCATCAGATGTCGAACAATCCCTAGCAGATATCTTTAAAGAGTAAGTTTAATGAGTAAGATAAGGTGAGTGAGGTACCTCAGTTTCTTCCTCAATTTTGGCCCCTTCTGCTTGTAGGAGTGCAAGCAATGTGTCCAAAGGCATGTTTCCAGATATGTGGTCTGTGAGGGGACAGAAAAGAAAAATGTGTTATTATTAAGAAGTCTGAAAAATGATTACAATTAAAAACTGCCTTCCTGTAGCTCAAGCAGTAGAGTAGTGTGCTGGCAATAACATGGGTTCAATTAGCCAAAACATACAATGTAAACAGGGGTTAAAGAGCATATTGCAGGTAAAAAAAATAAAAACTAAATTAACATATAACCTTGTATGAAAATACCATATGAAAAGTTAATGCAGGATTTAAAATGTTTTAAAACGACATAAGGGCACTAATTTAGTAGATAAAGTGAGCGTTTCTTGGACTGCTCGTAAAAACTGCTTTTTTCTCAACTTCGCGTCATTTTACGTCACAACAGGGAGCCTCGCCCCCTCGGCTTAGTGCAGACAGAGTAGGCTGGTATTCAGTGAGAGCGGTCGTCAGTCTGTGTTTGCGGTAGTTTTTGTATTTCAATTGATCATCGTCATGGTAAATTATTGTGTTTGTGGAGGTTGCAAAAACTCCGGCTTGTCAGGACATCGAGTCCAGAGGTTTCCATAACAAGAAAATCTACATCTACATTTAAAATAACGAACGTGAGAGCGCAAACATGTGAAAGGCCCCCTAAAGCAGCTCAGATGAAGTCGGTTATCGTGGCGATATGCAATATCATTGCAGCACCAAAGTAGAGTTAACATTAGGTATTTCACAACCTTCATTATATGCACTTCGAAAAATTACCGAGGTCCTGACCTCGGGGACCTAAATGGTGGGTACGGCCCTGGGCATGAGTAAGATAGGATCATTAGATGCCCAATATATCGGGAGAAACATGGAGTGGGTCAGACATGATTTTGACCACTTCATTAAGTTTTGTTTTGTATAAAGCCTTTCTTTAAAGTGTATTTTCTTTTGTATAAATTGTAAAATAATTTTAATCTTATTTAAATCCGATAAATCTTAATTTTAATCGGTTTCATCAACCAATTGCCTAGATTTAATAAATGAGAAGCAAATATAGCAGACATTATAATCAGGACATGGAGGCGCCGGCGCGATATTGCATTGCACGTGAACTGGAGCGCGTCTCATAAATGAACCGAAACTCAGTGTAAAGGCTGCTACTTCAGGCTTGACTACTGGACATAGGCTTGAAATGTCTACTTTTAAGCAAAACAATTCAAAACGAATAGAAACAGACTACTCTCTTATGTAATCCATATAAAATGTGCATTTCTCTCTATAGGCACTCACTACATTTGGACATTGTGTAATTATATTTATTAAATGTGTAGAATACTTTCCAAACCGCTACATATAGTATTATAAATGTTACATATAGTATTTTAAATTCAGACGTTCATGATCTAAGATATACTTTATTGTCCCCAAAGGGAAATTTGTTTTGGACTCTGTCCCTTCCGCAGTTTTTACAAAGACAACACAAAGTACAAAATACAAAGTCTCTCAACACATCCTCTCACAAACATAAAAAAAAAATAAACATATTAGAATAACTTTTCCATGAGCGGAGTGATTAAAGAACGCTTAGAGTGCAGAGAGGAACGTGCTTTCGCTCCACTCCAGGCTTTGATCACATCCCCCTCAGCAGGGTGAATACACCTCATCTTTCCTTAATTTAAGACCTATTCAAAAATTAAGACATTTATTACACTATTTGAGAAAAGTAAGCATATTTACGGCCTTAAAATTATGAAAAGTGAATTTAAGACATAAGGACAGGCAGGAACCCTGCAATTGATGGAAATCCGTCTTAGACTCGCTGCAATTAGCGGAAATCTGTCGTAGCGACGGAGAACTTTAATTCCTGTGTAAATCACTTTGGATTAAAGCGTATGCCAAATGCATCATTGTAAATGTAAGCAAGATGTTATATGATATTAAAGTGGTAATGCAAGGGAATTTAGGTAAATAAATAGTTTTAATCTAAAAAGGTATTAAACATGTTAGGGACATGTAAGATCTGTTTTGAAGGAAAGCGGCACCTTTTGGCTTAAGTCGTTGTGTAACATCAAAGGCTGCTAGATAAATCTGAAGACTATGGGTGCTTCTCAATATCCCTCCTCGTCTCCTCGATCCTCGGTCCTCCATCCTAGGGGTGTCGCAATATACCGGTATTGACGATAATCGTGATATTCAAAGCTTGAAATATCGACATTGTGTTAATTTAGAGTGTGGCAATATACCGGTATTGGCGATAACCACGATGTTTAAAATGAATAGGACTTTTATGATGACATGACACGTATACTCTAGCGCCAGTTGAGGTGGCAGTATTGCACCCGCTGACATCTATCAAATGAGAAGACGACGCAGCGCGCGCCCGCGCAGCCACTCTGGTATGGGAGTTCTTCGGCTTCAAAGAAAACAGCACTTTAAAGGGGGTCGCCGGACGAGAAGCGCAGAGAATTCTTTAAAATTCGAACACATTATGTTCTAGGAGTTTACACACACCACCGGCACCATTCGGCGTCTGTCCGCGACGCCCAGCAATGGCTCGGATTTTCAGGTGAGATTCTCAAATCATTCAGTTAACGGATGCGCTCTGACTGAGGTAAAGTGTTCAGACTGCAGACTTAGCAACGATTGTATTTAATTGTACAATACAATCATAACATAGTACAGACATGATCTTAATTTCATAATGTCCTTAAACATAACAATATTGCTGGCCATGAACTGAGAAAGTGCGTGTCAGGTGTGCTACATGCGACGCGGCGCAGAGCTGCGCTTCTCGTCCGGTGTGCGACCCCCTTAAACCCAATCTGCAGAATGTTTAGCCACCAACCTTTTTACCCATCTCCGTGTCCATCACCCTGCGGATTACGCTATTTTACAGAGATTAAATTGCGATTATTTTACTAGTCATGGAATGGGAAATGTGACATTAACCTGTTAACAGCGGGTTTTTGTTTTCATATGTTTAAATAAGGGGTGATTATTAAGTAGGCTACCCCGTTTTCTTTACTCGTCTTATTTTTGTATTTGCACTTGATTTGTTTTGTTCAAATCTGCATGACTTGCACCGGCGCAACAATAGGTTTAAGAGCTTTTCAGTTCTTCAGGAAACATTCAGACAGTGTTTCGCTCCAGTCTGAAACCAGATATACTTAACATGCTTGTCTTACTTCACAAAAATGTGCATTCAAATATAAGAACGCAAGAAGTAAAAATGCAAAAAAAGAAAAATTAAATAAAGTAAAAATGAATTTGACTGATTTGACATTTTTTCCCCCAAGGTTTCTATAGATCTCGCGATATATCGATATCGTGAATTATTTTGGCCACAATAACCGTGGTGTGAAAAATCTAACATCGTGACAGCCCTACTCCATCCTATGACCCGGAAACCGTTCGAGCACAGCCATTTTGAAGGACATCTCAATTCTTTAATTGCACCGCGAGGAGGCAAGGATCGAGGAGTGAGGAGGCTTCATGAGCAAGGATGCAGTTGCATGCTTTGCGGAAGTGTTTTATCGACTAAACGTGACGCACGTATACATTCTCCTCCCCCTTCACGTCGGTCACAATCATTTTAATTTATACTTTACCTTTGCAGTTTATATAAACCACACATCTCACATATTTCAACAGGGTATCATGCTTTATTATTATTTATTACTAATTAATTAAAGGTGCAATGTGTAATATTTCTGAGGATCTATTGACAGAAATGCAATATAAGATCCATAACTATGTGTTCAGTGGTGTATTCGGTTGTTAAGTCTGACGTCACGCGTGACGTTTAGCCTCTTCCGGGCCCAAGCGCTCCGGTCGTCCACTCCAGATCCTAGACTAAATAAACCCTTTTCTTAAGAGCTTTTTTCGCTTCAGTGCCAGTGGGTGTTACTAGGGATTAAGGGATAGCACCCACTGGCGCCAAAGTTTCTTCATTCGTTTAAGATTTGTAACTTACCTTATCAACTGCAGCCATTTTCTCTTATCTTTCTCGTCACAGGGAAAGCGGTAGAATGACAGTTGAATGTCACTTGTTTTTTAACTCCGATCTATTTAAACAACACGGGAACACGTTAAAACTCGGGCGAAAGCGGTAGGTAGGTAGAGAGGACCCGGCCTTTGGACCCGGAAACAGTATTATCGGAGAGTGGTTACGTCACGACTTAACAACCGGATAAAGACCTTACTCAATGAACCGTTATGTTTTTATTACCTTAAGAATGAGACATTTATATCTACATAACCACGGGCACCCCCTTCTATGAAGGTCGACATATTGTGACGTCATGTTTCTACCGTAGCCGACAGCGAACAAACAGCGCTACAGAGCGCGTTTCGTCACTACCTTGAAAGAGAAGCCGCAGAAAGCTAGAAGCTAGCCATAAACACCGCGAGTAGTGACTTTACCCTTGTCAGTGGTGTAAAATATGTAGTTGGATTGTTTCATGTAACTTAGTTCTTCTCCCTCGCTGTTATGGCTTTGACAATCAGCTGATTAGTACTATTGACCGTAAAATAGTAACGTCACAGGAGTTACCAACCCGTCGATCGCGGTCGACAAGTCGATCTTGGAAGCATTTTAAGTCGATCACGAAGAGTTTTCAAAACCAGAGAAAAAAAACCAACATTATTTTAATCCAATATTATGTATTAATTTGTGTGTAGTAAATGGTGTCTAGGGGATGCGGAGGCGCTCGCGCTGTTACAATCACGTCATTTATGCCACGCGCACCTTTGCACTCATGCGGACGCGTCGAGTATAAACAATGCTTTACGCTTTAACCAGCTCAGCCACAGCCCTACATCATAACAGCTCATATTAGCCAGCTAAACTAACCTGTTAGAAAAAATATGTAGTTGATTATTATATTAACTTGTATAGGGCTGCAACAACTAATCGATAAAATCGATAATAATCGATTATGAAAATCGTTGTCAACGAATGTCATTATCGATTAGTTGGTCTGCTTACGTCACGGGGAGCGTTTACTGGTGATTGGTTGAAACAGGCCAATCAGGATGCTCTCTGTCTTACACGCGCTT